AAACATTTAAGATACTTTTTGTTCAGTGCTGAATTCTGTTTGCTGGCAAATCCTCGAATTATAACAATTTTCCTCAGATTTGAATGTATTGTTAATGCTTTCGTAAAAATCGTAAATCGAATTAAAAAGAATAAAATCTGAGATTTTATTTTTAGGCCATATCGCCCAGCCCTAATTATTGTTAGCACTAACGTTAACGTTACCTCAAACTAAAGCTATCTTTTTCTTAAATGAGCCACAGCAATTTTTCAAATGAGCTTCTAACGCTAGACTAACGCCTTTATTTTCAATGTGATCACCTTGTACCCAAACCATTTCGAAACTAAAAAGGAGCCATTTGTCCTCCGATTACATACAAGCTCCTTGGCGCCGCGTTTGCGGGACTCATGTTTCGCGCTGTATGGGGATTTTAAAAAAGTGACATGGTGGAAGGGCGGCGCCTGGGCAGTGTGTGTGTGTGTGTGTGTGTGGGAGGCGGAGCGGCAGAGAGATGCGACAGAGTTGTGAAATTGCAGGCGCGGCTCAAAATGGCTGTTATTTCAAATAGCGTAGCATATTTTAAACCAATCGGTTAACTGGTTTCAATGGCTAATGAGGCTCGGTGGTCTGTAGTTTTCGCCATCCCTATAGAATTAATTTGTTTATAAGTGCTTTCGTAGACTAGATGATTGATTTTTATTCGTATACTCATACCACAGTTGTCTTTCGGATACAATCAAGTCCTATCACATTAAAGGTGATTGGGCTCTCGACTCGGGCGCAATCCCAATATGTTGGTACGTCGACGTGACGTCGAAGGTGACGAGGTGAGAAATGCCGGATGAATGTTTTAAAAAAGCAGACATAACGCAGTCGACTGACCTCCCGTATCCACACATCCCATAAGCTGCCATAAAGAGGGTAAACCTATTTTATTATCCTTCCCCCATATTGTACTTGTATAGAGTAAGATTATATCTGTTCTGTGTGGATCAGGAGAATGCAGGTCAGGCTTAAGTAATACTGATGGTCAGATGATTAAACTGAGTTTAAGCCACCATACACACACACACACAGACACACACTGTCTCTTGATTTCAAGACAAGGAGTTGGGTCACGCTCAGAGCGCGTGAGTCTCTCGTCAAAAGCCATTGTAATTTCCATCAGTCACAGTAACAGCTGACTTTAGCGGCTAGAAGATCAGAGCTGCTTTTCATTAGCCCAAACTATCAAACCGTTTGTTCTACAGACATGCTAACTTAAATTATGCAGATTATTGAATCAAATTCAGTTTAACTTAGGCGGATGATAAAACTTAAACCTAGATTGAAGGAGGGACCTGATCCATATATCAGAGGTTCGACTCTCCACCAAAATATGCCCGAAAATATGATTCAGTGTATTTTGTTAAACTAATCCATTTAATCCCCAGTTCAGTAATGCAGACATGTAAGCGTTTCCCATAATTCCTTGCATCTAGTCCTCAAACAATATACAATAGGATACGATTTAATGATTGTTATGTGTGTATGTTACCATCTGTTAGTTTTGACTGTAGGAGAAAAGTGAATTTTAATCTTCCGGGATCAAATTTGTCTTCGTGTCAATGTCACAGGATGTGTATCCTCTGTGTCTCATAATTATTCATGAGCCTGAGTGTCCTTATCCTACGAGAACAAAATCGAATACTCCCCTACTATATAGTAGGGCTGGACTATTATAATCTCGATTAATCGAACAAGTTACCTCGATTACAATTATTTTTTTCTCTGATTTCACGCTGGCGAACGCCATCATTACAACACGGCATTGATTACGGCTTTTGTTCCCACTCTGTCCCCAACCTGCCACCAATCCCGGGTCGCACAGAAGGTGTTTGTTCTGGCAATATCCCGAGATTAACACGCGGTGTGAAAGGGGCTCATGCTGCTTCAACGTCGCAGGGGAAAAGTACGTTTTAAGGGAAAAGTACATTAACACACAATGGGTGGAAATATTAATAGGATTCAAAAACTGACATAACCGACATGGTAAAATCACGTCGGTTATAGGCTTTGAATTTCAGTTTTGAATATTTTTCGATTAATCGTCCAGAACTACTTAATAGGGTACTACGCGAAAAACAGTACGTCATTTCACACATATTTAGTTTTTGTGTTATCTATATTAAAATATCAATACAATGTAACGTATTTTCTCTGGCTCTTGTTTTAAATTATTTTGTTTCGTTATTATGCTAGCTGTTGTCATCTGTTAACGTTGTACGAGCAGAATGTGGCGGTTGGTCTGTGTGGTATTAGTCCCGCCTCTCCTCCACTGTGATTGGACGGTTGGGTAAAAAGTGACAGTGATGAGCGTTGCGTTTTCACTAAAGTTGAACATTCTTCAACTCTTGCCGACCGGTAACAAACGCCAGGCGTTTTAGCGTAAAAAAAAACGCTCAGTGCCTCGTTACGGTCATGTCGTTTAAAAACGTCGCACTCCTATTGAAAACAATTGGAAAAATAAGCCAGTCGTGTGAAGAAAAAAAAAACGCTTTGATGGACACTTACTAACACCTTGCTCCAGGGCAACCCCTCTTTCAGCGTTAAAAAAACTACTGTCAGGATTTACTAACGGCACACAGTGAAAAATTAGCGCTGAAAAGGCGTGGACTTTTGCAGGACTTCATTGTATATGCATTTAAAGTAGTTTCCTCTCAGACAAAAATCTCTTTAAAATCTCTTAGGAGATTTAAAAATTTAGACAAGCGCCCCCTAGCGAGAGACCTCGTTACGCTCATGCCGTTTAAAAACGTCGCACTCCTATTGAAAACAATAGGAAAAATACGCCAGCCGCGTGAAAAAAACGTTTTGATGGAAACTTAGGGCCAATTACTAACACTTTGCTCCAGGGCAACCCCTCTTTCAGCGTTAAAAAAACTACTGTCAGGATTTACTAACGGCACACAGTGAAAAATTAGCGCTGAAAAGGCGTGGACTTTTGCGGGACTTCATTGTATATGCATTTAAAGTATTTACCTCTCAAAAATACTGTTTAAAAAAATCTCTTTAAAATCTCTTAGGAGATTTTAAACTTTAGACAAGCGCCCCCTAGCGAGAGAGAAAACACTTCTCTATTATGCCATTCCAGACTCTGTCTACAAAGCAAAGTGAAGTAGCAGAGTCAAGGCTAGCTTTTTTCAGGAATGAGTAAAAATGTGTTTTGGAGACAAATGTCCATCTAGTCACGGGTCTCCTGCGATTGATTAGATAAGAGTATTGCAGAAAACATCTTGTTGTTTCAGTCGTATCTGGCTGAAGTTCTCCGCTGTGAGTCATGAGCCATCAGCACTGCAGGACACGATCAATAATCCTCATCACACCTGGTCGAACAGGAACGCTGAGTCAATGTTTCAGGAGTTTCTCATAATGTTTGGAAAGGTGGAGGAGATTAGAGAACAAGGATGACCTTACTTGCATTGACAATTTTTTTTTATATATTAGGTATGTGTGTTCAGTTGTGCTATTTCTACAATCTGAAGAGAACTATTATTTGAAGAGAAGTTTGGCTTGAGCAGCACAACATGCTTTTTTTCTCCACACGGGCGCTGGTGGTGTTTGTTATATTTAACAGCACACTCAACACAATGTGCTGCTATTTAAAGCGCACAGATCTCTTCCTGTGTGAATGAAGATGTTTACAATGAATCCCAGAGCTCAACTCTATTGATTATTTTGTTACGGAAGGATGGATTTCATCAGCGGGAAGTGATAAAACAACGACTCTAATGCTACTGTGTGCTCTTTTCTCCAGAGGAAACACTAGTTTATGTCTCATTGTACTGAAGGATAGTGATTCAGCGATGATTTAGACTTGGGTTGAGTGTTTGTAGGTATTCAAAATCACAGGAATTAAAATGGAGCCTATTTACTTTCTTAAAGGGATACTTTGTATTAAGCTTTGTAATAGTAGAAAACCTGTAGTAATTTCAAATTGCCATGCTTTCCACCCTCATATCCATTTTTTCAGGATTTTTTGATGAATAGGAAGTTCAAAATAGCAGCATTTATTTAAATATACACTCTTAGAAGAAATGGTTCTATTTAGAACCAGAAATGGTTCCATCCCCTGCTTAATGTATGGAACCATTTTTTTTTGGTAAAAGGTTCTATTGGCCAAGTATGGAACCCCAGGGTTCTATATAGAACCCAGAGGAACCCTTTTTTTAAGAGTGTATAGAACCTTTTAGGGGTTCCAAATACGTAGCGCTGATAGAACCTTTTAAGGTTCTATATAGAACCTTTTCTTCTAAGAGTGTACGTTTTTTTAACATTATGAATGTCTTTACTGTCACTTTTGATCATTTTTAATGCATTCTTGAATTTCACACAAAAAAACTGAGCTTGGATTATGGAAATAAAAATAATGGCATTTCATATTGTTTTGCAGTGTTTAAGTTCTCATCTCCTCAATGATGTCTTCAATCTTGAAAAGACATCTGAAACCAGCCTAGTAGTTAACTAGTCTTAACTGGTCTGAGCCTGTTTTAGCTGCTCTGTTAAGTGGTTTTAAAGTGGTTTTGGCCATTTTTCAGGAGCAAACCAGGTTTAAGCGTGTGTTTCCTGCCGGGATAGATGAATTTCACATCTATCTCTGTCCAAAGTGAATTATGTTTTTAATCTGTTAAGATATTTTGTAGTAAGTTACACACTTCCTATTTCTTATCGCTCCGCTTAGGGCTGTTATTAAAGTGAGTTTTCAATTACAGAAGCCCAGATAATAGTGAAGTTCAGCCGTTTAAAGTGCAGTTTATCTTCAGCCGGCTATTCTTTCCACTGTAGAGCCAATAATGAGGATTTAGCTATTATCTTTTCATTCTCCAACGTTAGCAATTTCACCCATTAAGATGGAAGCCATGAATTCCACTTCACATAAAGAACGCTTTTTAAATATTGAAGCTTAATTCACTGAACTAAATGTTTTGTATATGGTAATGTGGTTTTAAAGTCTCCATATGTCTCTCTCTCTCTCTCTCCAGGTAACAGAGGTGTGTGGTGCTAAGCGGCTCGGGTTCTTTGGCTGTGGGCAGTTGTACGTGGCTCTGAAGCTGATGGCCGCGGCACAGGCTGGTTTGCCAGTACGTCTGGAGAGCATCACAGGGGGTAAGTCGAGTCATCCGCCGTGAAAGGAAGGAGAAGCAAACGCGATCAGGGATTTGGCCTCGCATGCTTGGATTTACTCTAAAGAGGGATAACACACGGAGGTCGTGCTTTGCAGAGAGAGCGCCACACGCTGAGCCAAACTCACTGAGAATAAGCCTGTGTGTGTACACTGAACCACAGGACGGTTTCCTTAAACGCTTGACACTTATTGTCTAGACTCTTTAATCTGTGCTTACAGTAAACATAAGTTCACTTGACAGTTACTGCATAATTATGAATTGATCCTGACAACCAAAGTACCATTTGAAAGCTTTAACACACAAGATTCTGAAGATAATAATAAATATTATTTTTATTGTTAATCTTTTTTCAATTGTTCTATTAATTATTGTTATGGTAAAATGTCTTATTTTTTTTACATTTTATTGAAGTAATTATTTATAAAAATGATTGTTGCATTTGTATAACCAAATTATAACCATAATATGCCTTATTTTATTAATATTAATTTATATAATTTTTATTGCATTTTTATAATACAATTTTTTGAACTTTTGTAATGGTTTATAATTTCTATATTTGTTTATTTATTTTTTACTATTTTTACTATTTTTTTATTATTTGTTGCATATGCATAACGGTAATTAATTAACAAAATTATTTTACATGATTATTTTAATACATTTATAAATATTATTTATTGAATTATTTTATGATTATGTATAGTTAATATATATATATATATATATATATATATAATTTTTATTATTATTTTATTTATTATTATTTATTTTATTTTTTTTTGTCAAATTTTTTATTGTTTTATAATCTTCAGTTTTGCTTGGGAATGCACCACAAGTTTCTAATTTCAATATTTTTATTCAAAATTTTGCTATGTAACTTTGGGGTTTGAGCTCATAAAGTAACTCGAATGTAAACACAGCACAGACAAAACAGTCATTTCCTAAATTTATTTGCTTTACTAAAGTAATATTGAGCACTAGGCTGACTCCGAGCTCAGCGCAGCTCCAGGCCACCCTGCCGGGCTGAAATGTGGCGAACAGAGCCTGGATTAGTGTTTAATCCTGGTTCAGACTGTTACTGAAGGACCTCAGGGCCCGCGAGACCCTCACAGCGGAGAGAGGAGCTCAGATGACCTCACACAGCAGGTTCAGCGCCTCTGATCATGCACCTTCTGTTTACTCCACAAATCATCTGGAAAGGGAAGGATAAAGACCCGGTTTGTGGATAGGAAAGGCAGATTTATCGAGATGACCTCAGAGGGACCTTCTGAGAGATGACTGGCTAGGTTATGTTTACTTTTTAAAGAAGATCATCTTAGATCAGAGGTTTCAGTTCTAGTTCACATGTAACACAGCTACATGATTAAGTTCTGGAGGTTCACGAAGGTCTTGTTTGAAAAGGAACATAAATCACATGGCCTCAACATGCTTTGTGTTTCATTGAGCCTGTGTAATCCAGTTAGAAGTCAAAAATAAAGCTTGAAAGTTATTTAGCTGTTTTAATCTACTGTGCACAGAAAATATTATGAGGAGCAGGGCACCAAAATGAACAGAAAGGCCCCACAAATTCAAGATCCCCCACACAATTAAACTAAAGCTATGACAAGCGCACGATTAAAGTGAAATGTGAACATTTTTTGGGGCATTGCATTTGTTTATCCGCTTATATCGCATCGGATTTCTTTTTACGTGCTTTTTATTTTATTTTTTTACTGTGTTGAGCGTTAAACCCAATCAGAAATGTTTCTGTTGAGCTTATGAATGCAATGGCCAATCAGAGGCGCTTCGTCTCCGCTGAAAGAACCGGCTCACCGACTGAATTTTACACTCAAATACATTGCGAATTCTCTCATTATAAACAATAAAGTGCAGATACAATTTAAGTAGAACTGCATGATTCTGAAAAAAAAAATTAATTGCTGCAGTCTATTTAAAAATGTTTCATTAATTAGAATGAATTAAAAAGAATCTTTTCAACGAATAAATGAATGACTCGCTCGTCCTCTAAATACATCACTTGTTTCATTACTAGATGAATCAGCATTTTTGAACAAATCTTTTGAATGATTGATCCGATGACTCACTTATAAATACTTCACTTGTTTTATTACTAGACAAATCAGCGTTTTTCAACAAATCCTTTGAATGAATGATTCAATGACTCACTTATAAATACTTCACATGTTTCATTACTAGACAAATCAGCTTTTTTGAACAAATCTTTTGAATGAATGATTCAATGACTCACTCATAAATACGTCACTTGTTTCATTATTAGACAAATCAGCGTTTTTGAACAAATCTTTTCAATGATTGATCCGATGACTCACTTATAAATACTTCACTTGATTCATTACTGGATGAATCGGCATTTTTGAACAAATCTCTTAAATGAATGATTCAATGACTCACTCATAAATACTTCACTTGTTTCATTACTAGACGAATCAGCGTTTTTGAACAAATCTTTTGAATGAATGATCCAATGACTCACTCCTAAATACTTCACTTGATTCATTACTAGACGAATCAGTGTTTTTGAACAAATCTTTTGAATGAATGATCCAATGACTCACTTATAAATACTTCACTTGTTTCATTACAACTTGATTCAGCGTTTTTGAACAAATCTCTTAAATGAATGATTCGATGACAAATAAAAAATGTTAAGTCACTTGTCGCCACCTACAGGATCTGTTCAATTTCCATCGCGACCGTTGACATCAGTGTTTATCCGAACAATAAATTTATCCCAGTTCTTCAGTGATAATTTGAATTATTGTAAGGCAGAAAAATAATACTGTGTAGTTGTAAAAACTGCTCTCTCTGGTTCCAACACAGATTTGAAATAACAATTATGACTTTTGTTTTGTCACAATATTACTGATTTTTAAATTGTATAATGTATATTTTTTTTGCATTCTGCAGTTGTTGTGTAAATACATGTATGCCACCTTTGAGCAGCATTAAACAGCTGAACTTTATTTGAATCCTCTGTGAAAATAGCATCAGTACGCTGTTCTGAACATAGTGTCATTTATCTTTCCCTGCAGAACTTCCTCTTCCTGTGTTTGTTGGGATAACGAATGAGCTTGAGATGCGTTACGCCAATCACCCCCCAACCAATGAGAGCCAGCCGCACATTCTGGGCTCAGTTCCTGGCTCCGCCCCTCGTCCCCCTGCAGACAGACCTGTACTGAGACACCCTGACACCAGCATGGACAAACAGGTCAGACATCATAACTATCTTTTTATCATATTTACACTATCATTTGAGAACAAAACTTGATGATGATCATCTGATTGATCGCTGAATCGAATTTGTTTCATAATTGTTGAATTTTGAATCTTTGGCACTATTATTGAACTGAATTGAATCAACATTAAATTTAATAATGACAAACTCGTCTCATAATTTGATGAACTTTACGTGGTTATTTTTATTGAACTGAACTGAAATGAGCTGAATACTGACACTATTGTCTTCAGAAGAGCTGCTTTATAGTTTGATTTGAGTTCACGTCATAACTAATGAACTTTAAGCACATGTATATGCACACAAACACACTGATAACTACCACAGATGTGTCTGTTGAAATAACCCGATTTACTGGTTTACATACAAATCAATAACTTGACAATGAAAGTAAACCGAGTTTGCAAGACTGTATTAAAAAAAACAGATTGTTCACCTTACTATTATTGTGTATTTGTATCTGACAGGAGGCGTGGTCTCCTCCGCGGTCACCCGCCATCTCCCCGCCCCGCTCACCGCCAGCCTATCGCAACTATCCATATGCTGCACAGAGAAACGGAACAGACATGCTATTGGGTGAGAGTCACTGTCAGTCATTCATTCCACATCCGGACCGGCCCATGAACCTAGGCATGACTGGAAATTAATGCTTTTTATTTTAAAATGTTCACCGTTCAAGGTTTTGGTGGCAGTTGTTTTTATAAGTAGCAGTGTTAAGACATTAATACTTTTTTTTAAAATCAAGGGTGCATTAAATTACTCAAAAGTAACAGTAATATATACAGTATATATATATATATATATATATATATATATACTGTATTAGTGCTGTGCAAAAATTAATCGCATCCAAAATAAAAGTCTGTGTTTACATAATATATTTGTGTGTGCTGTATATAATTATTTTGTATATATAAATACACACACATGCATGTATATATTTAAGAAAATGTGTTATTCATATATAAAATATTTATATTTATATAATTTATATTATGTATTTATATACTGTATATATACAGAATTTAAGCGCAAATAATTCTTAAATATATACATGCATGCATAGGTATTTATATATACAAAATAATTATATACAGCACACACAAATATATTATGTAAACACAGACTTTTATTTTGGATGCGATTAATCGCAATTAATTTTTGCACAGCCCTAATATATATATATATATATATATATATATATAATTTCTTTTTATCATAAAAATGATTTAAAAATACATGACGGTGTCCACAAAATATGAAGCTGCATAACTGTTTTCAACATTGATGAATGATAATAAATGTTTTTTGAGCATCAAATCATCATATTAGAATGATTTGTGAAGGATCATGTGACACTGAAGACTGGAGTAATAATGCTAAAAATACAGATCTGCATCACAGGAATAAATTACGTTAAAAATGTAAAATATTTAAATAGAAAGCTGTTATTTTAAATTGTAATAATTTTTCACAATATTACTGTTTTTATAAATATTTGTCGAAATAAATGCAGCCTTGGTAAGCAGATGAGACTTGATATACATGTGCATATACATCTGCTCCTACATTTTAAAGCTATATTTATTTGCAATGCAACCCGAATATGTAGCTTTTTTATCATCATCATCATTATTAGTGTTATTAATATTTCTTTATTTTTACCTGTAGAGTTTTTGAGAGTCATTATTATAAAGTTTTGACTTCTAGATGATCATTTTGCATCAGTAAATACTCTTTATGTTGTATCAGGGAGATTTTTTTTCAGCAAAGATAATGTTCTTTTTCCCAACAATCCCAATGGAAAAGTGAGAGCAGATTTTTCGCCACTCACACATACCGTGATGCTGTAATTAGATAACACAAGCATATCACACATATCACACACCCGGCGTGTTTCACACACTGTGACCGTAGTCGTGGTTGTCAGACAGCTGTGTGTGTGTGTGTGAGCGTTCAGCCTTGAGCCTTCAGAAAGCAGTTGTCTAATTGTTGCTCTCCTGTGGCGTATTGATATCTCAGTCGTTTAATCACACACCTGTTGAGTCACAAGTCCTTCAGCCCGTCGACAGTCAGCACAACACACTCGCCAGTTCTGATGAAACAGACACACACTCTCATGCTCTCTCCTATAAAAAATGCCTGCATGTTTAACCGCAGTGGTATACTTCATTAATAACATGCACTTAGTGTGCTTCATTTAGTGAGAGTTGGCCCTCTTGGACATTTGCACTCTAAATATTAAAAAATATATATTTTTCTTTAGAAAGCACTTTTGCACTGTAACTTTCTTATCCATACTCCCCCATACCACATTTTTACCTGTTACCAAAAATTATAAGATGGTCTGTTATAATCAATTATAATTTAAGCCAAAAGTGCAAATTATGCAATATATGCTAAATTGTTAATTTATATACAAAATTAGGACAGATTGCCTTAATTACACATACAATAGCGCCCCCTCCAGCACAGTAGCAGGTAGTGCATCTCTCTCTCTGTCTGTCTGTCTATCTGTCTATCTATCTGTCTATCTATCTGTCCGTCTATCTATCTATCTATCTATCTATCTATCTATCTATCTATCTATCTATCTATCTATCTATCTATCTATCTATCTATCTATCTATCTATCTATCTATCTATCTATCTATCTGTTAGTCTGTCTGTCTATCTGTTTGTCTATCTATCTCTCTGTCTATCTATCTATCTATATCTGTCTGTCTGTCTGTCTTTCTATCTTTCTATCTGTCTCTCTTTTTATCTGTCTGTCTGTCTGTCTATCTATCTGTCTATCTGTCTATCTATATGTTAGTCTGTCTGTCTGTCTATCTGTCTATATGTTAGTCTGTCTATCTATCTATCTATCTATCTATCTATCTATCTATCTATCTATCTATCTATCTATCTATCTATCTATCTATCTGTCTGTCTGTCTGTCTTTCTATCTATCTATATGTTAGTCTGTCTATCTATCTATCTATCTATCTATCTATCTATCTATCTATCTATCTATCTATCTATCTATCTATCTATCTATCTATCTATCTATCTATCTATCTATCTATCTATCTATCTATCTGTCTATCTATCTGTCTATCTATCTATATGTTAGTCTGTCTATCTATCTATCTATCTATCTATCTATCTATCTATCTATCTATCTATCTATCTATCTATCTATCTATCTATCTGTCTGTCTGTCTGTCTGTCTTTCTATCTGTCTGTCTGTCTGTCTGTCTGTATCTATCTATATGTTAGTCTGTCTATTTATCTATCTATCTATATCTGTCTGTCTGTCTTTCTATCTTTCTATCTGTCTCTCTTTTTATCTCTCTGTCTATCTGTATATCTGTCTGTCTGTCTGTCTATCTATCTGTCTATCTATATGTTAGTCTGTCTGTCTATCTATCTTTCTGTCTGTCTATCTATCTATCTGTCTGTCTGTCTATCTATATGTTAGTCTGTCTATTTATCTATCTATCTATCTATCTATCTATCTATCTATCTATCTATCTATCTATCTATCTATCTATCTATCTATCTATCTATCTATCTATCTATCTATCTATCTGTCTGTCTGTCTGTCTGTCTTTCTATCTTTGTTCATAATCTAATTGTGTGTGTTAAGCATGCTGTCTGTCTTTCTATTTGTCTCTCTTTTTATCTGTCTGTCTATCTGTCTATCTATATGTTAGTCTGTCTGTCTTACTGTCTGTCTGTCTGTCTATCTATCTATCTATCTATCTATCTATCTATCTATCTATCTATCTATCTATCTATCTTTGTTCATAATCTAATTGTGTTTGTTTGTTAAGCATGCAGTATTTTTGTGTTCAAATAAATAAATATTGGTAACACTTTACAATAAGGTTCATTATTTAACATTAGTTAATGTATTTACTAACATGCACTAACCATGAGCAATACATTTGTTACAGTATTTGTTAATCTTCGTTGATGTTAGTTAATGATAATAAAGCTGTTCATTGTTTGTTCATGTTAGTTCACAGCGCATTAACTAATGTTAACAAGATTTTAATAAAGTATTAGTAAATATTGAAATTAACGTTTACAAAGATTAATAAATGCTGTATAAGTGCTGTTCATTATTAGTTCATGCTAACTAATGTAGTTAACTAATGTTAACTAATGAACCTTATTGTAAAGTGTTACCCAAACATTCAATAATCTCAACAACAGCAAATAATTGTGAATATTAACTGTAGATGCATTCTGATCTCCGGCCATGAACAGAGAAACGTCAGCGTTATTGAATGTGGATCAGCTTTCTTCATTAGTCAGCAGAGGCCATTAATACTTTATTTCAAATCTACACATAAAAGACACGAGTTTCTGGAAGGACTTCAGATGTAGAAGAACATTCAGCAGATCAAAGTGCAGTCAGTCCTCTTTCATTCTCTCAGATTACACTCATATCAAAGATCATGGCAATCAATGACCTCCTTCTGAATAATGCATGCTCGTTCAGTATTTAATCACTTTTTTCTTTCATTTCCCCATTTATTATTCCATCAAGTCTTCATTAAAACGTTCACTGTTGTTCGGTGTCAGTCGAGTCTGAAACAGGCATATTTATCTCACTAGCATCTGCTGATAGTGTTGAATGCCATTTCTCTCAGTCAGATGTTTACATGCCAAAAGCATTGATCACAGTAAGGGAAAACTTTTGTCGTTGAAACATTCGCTCTTTCATCTTTTGGTTTTCGTTCACAGCGTATGACGGGAAAGTGGCGTCTCGTCCCAGTGTTCCTCAGGAAAACTTCTCTCCCAGTCATTATTCTGTCAAGCCTCAGCCGGAGCAGCCTGTCATTACACGCGTGAGCATTTCCTCACAACTCTTGAGCAGAACTCTGGGTGTCAGTGTAATATAAGGACAGACATCATGACATTTTAAAATCTATCTATCTATCTATCTATCTATCTATCTATCTATCTATCTATCTATCTATCTATCTATCTATCTATCTATCTATCTATCTATCTATCTATCTCCATCCATCTATCCATTCATCCATCTATCTATATCCATCCATCCATCCTTATGTATGTATGTCTATCCATCCATCCATGCATCCATCCATCTGTCTTTCCATCTATCTTTCCATCTATCTTTCCATCTATCTATCCATCTATCTATCTATCTATCTATCTATCTATCTATCTATCTATCTATCTATCTATCTATCTATCTATCTATCTATCTATCTATCTATCTATCTATCTATCTATCTATCTATCTATCTATCTATCTATCTATCTATACATCTATACATCTTTCCATCCATCTTATACATCTTTCCATCCATCTTTCCATCTATCCATCTATCTATCCATCTATCCATCCATCCATCTATCTATATCTATCCATCCATCCATCCTTATGTATGTATGTCCATCCATCCATCCATCCATCCATCCATCCATCCATCCATTTGTCTTTCCATCTATCTATCTATCTATCTATCTATCTATCTATCTATCTATCTATCTATCTATCTATCTATCTATCTATCTATCTATCTATCTATCTATCTATCTATCTATCTATATCTATATATCTATCTATCTATCCATCCATCTTTCCATCTTTCCATCTATCCATCTATCTATCCATCTATCTTTCCATCTATCCATCTATCTATCCATCTATCTATCCATCTATCCATCCATCCATCCGTCTTTCCATCCATCTATCCATCCATCTATCTATCTATCTATCTATCTATCTATCTATCTATCTATCTATCTATCTATCTATCTATCTATCTATCTATCTATCTATCTATCTATCTATCTATCTATCTATCTATCTATCTATCTATCTATCTATCTATCTATCTATCTATCCATCCATCAATCCATCATTCTGTCTGTCTATCTATCCGTCAGTCTGTCCATCCATCCATTCATCTATGACAAAAATTAAGATTAATTAATTCTTTTTAATATTTATAATTATTTATTTCAGGTGACATCAAACAATAAATATAAGTTAGTAATAGTATGATATGTTAAAAAAATAAACACTTCACCTCTAAGAAATAATAGAAAGATATTATCATAAATACTAGTACCATTGATGATGTGATATTAAAAAAACTGTTGTGCTTTTATTATAATTAATTACATTCTGCCCTACGAGGATTGCAAACGACTTATAAAAAATAATAAAAATGTAACTACTTTTTATATCAAATAAAACATTCAGAAGTAATGAACGGCATATGTGATGTGTAATTGTGTGATGTTTTCCTGTGGTTCAGGTCGGCTCAGTGGAGCGTCTGGTGGAGAGAGCAGAGGTGGATCACTCCGACGACCCCTGGAGGATAACAGAGGAGCAGCGGGAATATTACACCATCCAGTTCAGGAGTCTCCAGCCTGACCTCAGCGCTCTCATCGTGGGTACGAGAGCTCCACAAACACTCCTCACACTTTTACATTCATGATCTTACCTGGACCGCTTGAAGTTTGCATTGATTCTCCTTTCAGGAACTGTTGCAAAAAACTTCTTCACCAAGTCCAAGCTTCCGATTCCAGAGCTGTCGCATATATGGTGACGACAAAACCTCAGTTCTACTGAAACATGTCATCAACGGTCTCTTTACACACGTGGAAAAACCAATCGTTTTTGTTCAACGTCCTTCAGGGAGCTGAGCGATGTTGACAAGGACGGCGCTCTCACTTTCCCAGAGTTCTGCACTGCCTTCCATCTGATTGTGGCCCGGAAAAATGGTTTCCTCCTTCCTGAAACTCTCCCCGCCACGCTGAGACCGGGATATGTGGATCCAGGTGTGGTTACAGCGCCACCATCTGAGGTACGCAATCCACAACTCGCAACATGCCTACAGTGAAGTGTTTAGTTTCACCTGTTTCGGGTTTCTCGTCCAGTGTTATGTCTTATGATGCAATCATGAGATGTTTGAACTGGGCTCTAAATGTGTTTCTTTTACAGGCGACTCAACCTCTCATTGTGTTTGATATGAGGCCTGGAGCCAATCCACTGGTAAGAAGAACCTCATTTAACATGAATGCCAAGATCACGATGTTCTGCACGTTTCGTTCTGCCCTTTCCTCTGTCTTTGTCCTTCTGTCTCTCTTTCGTTGTTCTTTAATATCAAAATTGTCATGATGATCGGCACTCAATATCGCCAACTCCTCAAAACAAATAACAAGAACAGTCACATGAGAGATGCCATTGATGGTTGGATAAATAAATACGTTTTTTTTGTTGTTTAATGCTAAACAAAAACTAAAAATATTATGATAATATTTATTAATATTTTTAATTAGCTATTTTTTTTATTTTCAGCTTTTTTTGTTCATTTATTTCCTTTAACTTTGAATAATTTTAGTACTTTAACGTCTGAATATTTTAAAACCGCCAATTTAACATTTCTTGGTTAAGTTTTTATATAATATTTCTATTTTATTTCTACTGTAGAGAGATGCATTGATGATTGGATAAATAAATACGTTTTTTTTTTTGGTTTATTGCTAAAAAACGTTGTTATATACAGTACATTAAATTAGTATTTATTAATATTTTTCATTAGCTATTTTTTATTTTTCTTAAAAATTTCTATTTTGTTTTCATTTATTTCTTTTTAACTTTGAATAATTTTAGTACTTTACCTTCTGGATATTTTAAAACCACCAATTTAACATTTCTTGGTTAAGTTATAATATAATATTTCTATTTTATTTCTACTGTAGAGAGATGCATTGATGATTGGATAAATAAATACTTTTTTGGTTTATTGCTAAAAAAACATTGTTATATACATTATGATAGTATTTATTAATATTTTTAATTTGCTATTTTTTTACTTTCAGAATTTTTTTCTTCAAAATTTCTATTTAGTGTTCATTTATTTCTATTTTACTTTAAATAATTGTAGTACTTTAAAACTGCCAATTTAACATTTCTTGTTTTTTTGTAAGTTTTTTTACTTTTTTATATAATATTTCTATTTTATTTCTGCTGTATTTCAATAAATGAAAACAATGTTTATAGTTTTAATTTTAGCTTACAATATCATCACTGGTTTATTGTGATGAGAATATTTAGTTAGTTGCATTTATAGCTTCCATATAGAACAAGTATACAAGAATAATATAAAACAGCATGCGTTAATTTAAGAATAATAATAATAAAAGAAGATATAAGTAGTTCTATAACTCTCTCTCTTTAGGCATGTGTGTTTGGCTGAAGGCAGAGGGTGCTAATGAGTCTTATATGAGATCTCGAAAAGACAAAAATCCAACTTGTCCGACCCTTATAAACGAGTAAACCTCTACATGTGCTCATATCAGTCATGTTGTGCTGGCTTTTCATTTTCCCAAACAGGAAATGTGTTCTGCTGGCCTTCAGGTGACCTCTAGACCAGGTGTGACCGCTAAACAGGACACGAGAGATGAAAGCAGGAAACCGGGTAATGACTTCAGAGACAGACCTCAGTAATCATGGACAGGATTAAAGGGGAAAAAAAAGAAATGTGTTTTAAACGGTGGCCCAAAAAGTATTCGGACATTTAAGCCTAGGGCTGGGGAAAAAAATCTATTTGATTTAAAAATCCAGTTGGAAGGTCAAAAAAAAAAAATCGATTTTTTTAAAGCCCTCTTCGGAATAGTGTTCATACATTTTGCATTCGCCAAATCTTCCTTCAGGGTTTCCGTAGCACGCTTCCTGCGGCACAGTTCGGGTACGACAGTCAACACGATGAAACTCTCTCTTATTATACTTGATCTTGATCTTAATTTTTTTTTTTTTCCTAAATATGTTTAGCTTTAAAGTAAATGCCACTTGCTTTGAAATATTTCATTATCTAATGCTATTTTTTCAGTGTCTTCAGTGTGCAAATATTTTTGGGACGACTCTTCCACACTTAAGAGGGCAAATGCCATGTAAACTCATTAATATTCACATGCAGATGTTCCTATATCGCTGCTCTTATTGTGCTTGTTTTATTGCTGTGTCAGCAGATTTCAGCCCAAAGAGAGTTCCAGACCTGCATGAAAAGCCAATCCAGCGTGTCAGCACTTTAAAACCAGGTGACTCACTGTCCCGAGGCGCAGCACACACCCCTGACCCACACCAGACCAACCAAAACCTCTAATTTACCTGAGCTTTACCATCTGTGTACATTAGAGGAAACAGTTCAGGCAAAAGATTACAATTCTGTCATCATTTACTCATCCTCATTTTGTTCAACCCGTATGACTTTTCATTTGTGGAACATAAATGTTTAGCAGAATTTTCTAGTTGTTCTTTTCCATACAATGCAAGCAAATTGATTCTATAAAAGTAGTCCATACTATGTAAGTGTTATATTCCAAGTCTTCTGATGCCATAAGATAGTTTTATGTCAAAAACTGACCAAAATGTGATATTTGTGGATAATGTTCAACACTTCTGGAGCTTGACGTCACTTATTTTCAAATGTAGAGCTTAGAAGATATGCTGCACCAGGTTTAACATAAAAAACATTGGTTATAGTGTTTCATGTAACCAATCATGACATGTGCAAATGACCATTTGAGTCTCTTTCTCAGCCAGATCTGTAATAAGACTTCAAAAGACCTGTAATAAAGCGTGGACAACTTTTATGAATGTTTTTTTATTAGCTCAAGAGAGTTCATTCCTTTTCATTTTCATTGTATGGAAAAGAGCAGCATGACCTCAAGATTAAAATTTGATGTTGTATTTTGTATTATTAATGAATGGATAAAAAAAAATATTATTATTTTTTTAAACCCTAATAATTAGTTTAACCCTCTGGGGTTCTTCGGGTCAATAATGACCCGAAGCGTTTAAATAAAAAAATGTTAAAAATCGTAGCTTCATCGGAATGGTGGTACTTGGTATATGAACACCCAAAAAAATTGGGGACAGGATTTGAAAAGTCTAAGTGGGTGTAAAAAAAATAGTCACACTCAGGACCTTCGGGTCAAAAATGACCCGCATAGGAAATGAATGGGAAATTGGCAAAAATTTGAAAATACTGAGTTTTTTTGTGCGTACAATCTACAAATCAGCAACGATCTTGAAAAAAAGCACACATCAGTGAAGGGGTGAATCTATAAAATATCAAGAGTGCAAAACAGACACATCCACACAAACACACCAAAAAATTCAGATTATACATGTGTTTTGCATTTTTAAAAAGCTCAGTTTGTCCTCGAGATGGCATCCATCTAATTTCAAAAATTGCCTTTATGAGGCCTAGGCTTGACTCCAAAATGAAATACAGGTTTAAAAAAAAAATATATATATATTTTTTTTTAAACATTTTTTTCTATTATACAGTATTCAATGGGGGAAAATTTGGTGATAATTATTGCATTAATACTAATTATAAATTTTTGTATTTTTGAAATTTTCTCAAAACACCAAAAAAGAAAAGAAAAAATATTATAAAAAAACAAGTAAAAAAAAAATTATGATTTTCTTTTTTAAATATGAATCCCCGCCCTTTGGGTCAATTTTGACCCGAAGTTCCCGAGTGTGACTGTTAAACGAAGAACCCCAGAGGGTTAAAATGTGTTTACATTTAATTAACAAATGTATTATTCAAACATTAAACAGTTATTATGATTAAATAAATAAAATAAAAAAACTTTTTAAATATTAAAAAAATAAAAAAATTTTTTTTTTATTATTTAAAGCGGCATTGCGTAACTTTTTGGTGTTAAAAATGGAAAAGAGCAGCATGAACAATCTTCAAAACGTCTCCTTTTTCTGTGTGTGATTTTGCAGCATCCTGAGTAAATCATACTGACAGAATATTTCTCATGATGAAATTTAAAGCGCTGGTATTGTCTTCGGATGAAGCTGTACAGCGGAGGCCTGTTTGTTATTTTCTGCTGATGGGTGTGATGTTATGGAGTATAACCCCTCAGCGCCTCTGGGTGTGGACACAAATCCTGTTATATCCACAGCGCTGACCTTTTGTTCTGATATTTCATGCAGTCCGCTCTGATCCCATAGCAGCTTATATTTATTGAAGTGCCCAGATCCCTGGGCGTTCACAAATAATCCCGCACTCTCCCTGCTTTATTACTTGGGTTTGAATGCGATGTTGACCTGCACTTTACTTCCAAGATGGTTTTTTTCCCCTAGTGTTGGTAGAAAAGAGAATATTTTCGCCAAGAGAGTCTCCGTCAATGCCGCAGTGCATGATGGGATAGGAGACAGGCCTGTTTGGATAGTATTGAGTGTGTTTGATGTTTTATTGTTACGATTCAGTGTTTCTGTTGAGGTGTGAGAGAGCAGTTCATCTCAGGAACGTCTTCTTGTAGATGACGGGTAAATAAAAGAATGCTTTTATTTTGTTTCTGAAAAGGATGTTGTTGATGCTTTTGTTTGTTTTTTAAATTAAATAAACAGGCTTTTACTTTAGGGTTTTAATGCATAACTAATACTTTTACTGTATCACTGTGTAATTAACATGCACATGTTTTACAGATTCTCCACAAGAGCTTGACGCGAATATGAAGTCAAGAACACGACCCAGGTAAAAACACTACTGTTTAAATAACAGTTTTTTTAATAAACACTTTTATTTTGTAAGGATGCATTAAATTGATCAAAATTGACTGCAAAGATATGTATAATGTTACAAACGATTTCTGTTTGAAATAACTGCTGTTCTTTGAAACTTTCTATCGAAAATAAATGCATCACTGTTTTTAAAAAAATATGAAGCTGCACAACTGTTTGCAACATTGATAATAATAATAAATGTTTCTTGAGCATCAAATCATCATATTAGAGTGATTTCTGAAGGATCATGTGACACTGAAGACTGGAGTAATGATGCTGAAAATACAGATTTGATCACAGGAATAAATTACACTTCACTATATATTCACATAGAAAACTGTTATTTTAAATTGTAATAATATTTCACAATATTACTGATTGTACTGTACTTTTGATCAAATAAAAACAGCCGCATTAGAGACTTCTCTCAGAAACATAAAAAAAATATATAATACTGACCTCAAACTTTTGAACAGTAGTGCATATTTTAGTTTATTTATTATATTATATTTATTATATTTATTTTAGCATTAATTAGGGTATACATTTGATTCTGTATATATATAAACACAGGCTTCTGGGTTTGTTTAAATTTATTAAGACATTATTATTATAATTAATTAATAATACAATAAACCTCTGTTAGGGGGCATTCTCATTTGTAAAAAAATGAAACGTTTTATTTTAAGGCTAGTCTGTGGGTTAGAGTTAGGTTATGATATTTATAAGAAGCTCAAGTGTGTGTGTGTGTGTGTTACCCCCAGGTCATATTCCAGCACGTCTATAGATGATGCCATGAAGAAGGTGGAGGAGCCGCCCACTCCTCCTCCTCGACCCCAGAAGTCTCACTCCCGCGCCTCCTCTCTCGACCTCAACAAGCTCTTCCAACAGAGCAGTCAAGGTTCACACCCATCCCGACATTCCTCACGTCTTTCAACTGTATAAACATACACACTTTAATAAACTGAGAATATAAAGTGCAGACGTTGAGAAAAATTCCAATAATTGTAATAAAAGTTAACATTTGACTGTGTGGACGCGGTATTGGCACATTCTAGGGAGGACACAGGATTGACTGAGAATATATTGAAAGTTTATTCTTCAAATGTATGAAGCTGTAGGTTTGCACAGTGAGAATAATGAGAAGAAATAATAATAATTAAAATAAAAATAAAATAAATAATAATTGAGAAGAGCGTTGACAAGAAACGAATCTGCTTTGTGCTTATGGTTTTTAGATCAAGTTCTGGCCCCAGTTGTGAAAAACCCCAAAGTTAAGAAAACTCTTAATCATTTTAAAGACAATGTTACTAAAGGTTGAGAGGTTTGTTACAAGCTCTGAATGACTCAAATGTGTTCACATGTGAACAGAGATCCTGAATCCAGTGCTATTAAACTACTGTCTGAGCCAACTAAATGTTTCAAAGAATAAAATATCCATGAATCATTTTTCAAAGTCCAATGCTGAATTCTCATCATTCTTTAAATCCACAGAGAGTTTTCATGGCATGCAAACAATTACAAAAATTAATATGTGTGTGTGTATAAGAACATACTGTATATATATATATATATATATATATATATATATATATATATATATTAAGATTTATATAAGATAAATACAATAAGATTAAGACTACTCATCCAGTCTGCATTTATTTGCTCGAAAATATAGTAATAAAAATAAATAATCTGAAAAATTGTTACAATTTAAAATAAAGGTTTTACTTTTTTAAAACATTTTTTTTACGGTTTTAATTTTAAAATGACTTGGTAGCAGATAGCCCCATAATGAAGCTCCGCCCCCACTGTACTGTAGATTAATTCCAAGATTACAGTGAGAATAATCTAGATAAAAAAAAAAAAATGAATCTATGCCCATGACTAATGTAAATGTTGTGCAGAATATTTGTCTTGAAAAAGAACAACACTATAAGTGTTTCTGAATATGTTGTCCTTGTTGTCTCAGGTGGTAAAAGTGTGTGGTTGCCTCCTCCTCCAGCTCTTCCTCCACGACCGACAGCGACGCAGGTGAACTCCTTATTTCACGGATTTGCTGATTGCAGAAAAGGGGCATTTTCATGTATGCAATCTGTTTTTTATTGCCAACAGCTTTTAACGAAACTTAAAAAACCTAGACGCCTACCCCACTTCCTAGGTTGTCTATTTTTTAAGTATTTTTTTTAAGTATATTTTTTTTAAGTATTTTCGGTTTTTAAGTTTTGTTAAAAGCTTTTGGCAATAAAAAACAGATTGCATACATGAATATTTGTACTGAATATTTGTTTCTGCCTGCAGTTCACTTAACGGCCACCAGTGTCTCTAATAACAAGCGTTTCTGAATTCTACATACGGCCCCTTTAAAACATGGCAACTGGTTTCTAGCTTGTTATTAGATGTTTGACCAGCTACCGTGTTCATTAAACCCAACTTGACTGATTTTTTGCTGTTTTTTTAATAGCAGCTTTGGTGCATTGATATGTCGTAGTTTATATCAACTATGGTTTTAAACATGGCTCATTTAATCCGATTGTATATCTGTTTCAGTAATTGGATACCTTTTAGTTTGCTTTAAAATATTGAATTGTCTTTTGTACTTTGGTGTTCTGTGTCTGTGTTGTATAATAACTTGTGTCCTAATTCAATGTCTCAGATCTTCAGCTTCATGCCTGGCTCAGAGAAGAGTTCCCAGAAGGCCGTTCATCAGCCAAACTTTGCAGATTTCAGCAAGTTTAGCGAGGAGGTGAGTAGATGTTCACATTGATCAGATGTTAGAATCACTGAACTGACATTTGAGCAACATAAACCAACTGGTGACATATTTCTGACTGAAACAGGAAATAATGTTGTGCGGGACTGGGAACAAATTAATTGTATTTTTTAGAACATTCATATTGTATTCATACAATAGTAAATGAACTGTGGACTGTAAGAATGAGGACATTAAAATAATTTTGGTGATACTTTACAGTAAGTGTCCATATGTTAACATTAGTTAAAGGGTTAGTTCGCTCAAAAATAAAAATTCTGTCATTATTTACTCACCCTAATGTCGTTCCAAACACTTTTATTCAATTTAATAAATCTAGTCAGATAGAGCAACACTGATCACAGATCAGATACAATTTCATAATCGCAATAAGCCAAAATGTGATATATGTAACTCTTTTTTTATATATATATTTGTTTGTGTTACAAAATCAAATCTGCCTTTTTAATCGCATAAATTGGTGCATTGAAATGAATATATCCTCAGTGAAATTCTGCACACAGTCTTCCTGCTGTCTGTCATCATTTCTTTCTCAGTTATTAATTACCTGTCCTCTTTGAAAAGTCTGCACTTCCTCTTTTCAGTGTGTGTGAACACGTTCACCCGTTCACTCTTCTCATGTTTCTGTGGCTGCAGGCTGAGAAGAGACGGCAGTTTCCCACAGTTTAATAAGAGTATAAAGCCACAGGAGCCCAATGAAAACACACACACTCATCAGCGTTACACAACCTCAGCTTACATTACACACACACACACTGTTTTGACAGCACGGGCACCTGTACTCAAGCCCTGTCTATGAAAGCTAATACTTGTATAAGATATGAAGATATGAGCGCAGACTCTATATGAAGAGATTCTGGCGTGATCAAATCCTCATAACTCCTCTGAAGCCTCCAGAGAGCTTTAACCATCTCCGACCGCAAGCGTTCCTTCATCTTTATGGCCTTTTTACCCCTCCATGCTTTTAACTTTTGGCTTCTGTAAAGCGGCGAGGGGGAATGGGATCACTGCGTGAAATTCATTTGTCATAGTCCTGTGAGTTATGGCTTTCTGAGGTCATTATTGGACTGAGAAACACAGTGTCTTAATCAAGCACGGTTTCAGAACCTAGAAAGTCGCTTTTCTGCATTTTTGAGGCATCATTGTAATGGTATTAGTGTTTTAAAAGTTTAACTTTATTATGAAAATTTGGAATTGTTTGACCATTATTTTTTTGTATGCTTTTTATACTCCTTAAAATGAATCCAAGAATGTGAGAGAATAGAAATAAATAGGAAAAATTGTTATTTTATTTTATATATTCAATAAAGTTGTATTGAATAAAAGCTTTAAATAAAATCTGACTGAATAAAAATATAAAATATATTTTTAATATTTATGTGTATATATATATAAAATATAATAAAAATGAAATATTGTTTTTTATATATATATTTATTATATAAAATATAATGAAAATGAAATATTTTTTGTATGCTTTTTATACTCATTAAAAAGTGAGAATAATAATAAACAAGAAATATTTTTGGATTTTATTTTCAATAAAGTTGTATTGAATAAAAGCATTGAATAACAATGTATTAAATAAAAATAAATCTAAATAATATAAAGGACTTATTTTTGGAATTGTTTTACCTTTATTTTTTGAATGTTTTTTTTATACTCGTTAAAATAAATGTAAAACAATTTTGAGAGAATAATAGCAATTAATAGTTTATATAGTTAATTTTTTGTATATTATTTTAAATGTTTTTTTTTTAATGATTTTTCCAATAAAGTAGTATTGAATAAAAGCATTGACTCAAAAAATACAGAATAAAAATAAATATAAACAACAATGGACTTGTTTTTTGTTTTACTTTCATTTATTTTATGGCTTTTTTGCTCCTTAAAATAATCCAAATTAATAAATTGGAAAGCATAAATATAAATAGGAAATTAAGGATTTTTTTTTTATTTATTTACATTTTATTTATTTTTTCCCCCAATAAAGTAGTATTAACAAATCTATATAATAATGGACTTGTTTTAAAAAATGTTTTACCTTAATTTTTTTTTGTATTTTGTAAAAAAAATATGTTTTTGTGTTTGTATGCTTTAATGAGTATTGTGTCATTAGCTTGACAAACTCAAATTTTCTTTCGCCGCAACAAGTTTTCCTTTCTGTAAATGCCAAATTCTGATTGTTTTGCTCACATGACCTGATGTTGACTTCTCCTGTCCTATATAACACTGACAGGATCTCGTTCAGGGACTAGACCTGACAGCTTCCCATTCATTGTATCTGGGCTCGTATTGAACAAATGTCATATTGCATTTGATTTGTTCTTGTTCTTTTTTTGTGTCCATTGTTATAACACAGCACCCCTGAGGTGTTCGTTATTGACTTGAGGACACATGTCATGGAGACACAGTCTCAGAAAACTTCCTCACTTATTTTCCACATCTCAGATCTGTTCTTAATTAAACTCTGAGCAGGAACCTAGAGATTCATGTTTGACCATCATCATCTCTCCTGAGTGCGGACAAATGAGAGATGGAGTGTATATTTATTATGCAGCATTCGGTATTATGATGTGATATTATAGAAACAGCCATAGTTTGTTTCAGTTCCTGTTACAGAAACACTTTATAATCATTTGTTCACTTATTAAGTTTATATAGTTATATGCAGGGCTGGATTTATTTCTCCAGTTACGATGCAGATAAATATTTATTTTTAATCATTATTAATCATTTCACTAGTTCAACTGGTTCTTTAAATAAGTACAATGTTTTCTTTACTCAATAAACACTATATGTTCAGGCTAATATTTTATGTTTTTGACCAGTGGAGAAGAGTATTTTTGTCTAGCATTTGTCATTGACTTTCTTTGACTTTGCTTGCTTTGTTTTTTCGGAAAAATAAAATGAATATTTGGAGAGAATAATAGCAGCATTATTATTATTATTTTATTATATTACAATAGTAATATTATTCTTTTATTATACTATTAATTATATTAATCATAATTGTATTTTAAACAAAGTCGCTTTTGAAATTGTTTAAATTTTTCTGTGCTTTTTTTATGCTTTTTGGAGTATTGCGTCATTGGCTTAGCAAACTCTATTAGAAACAATTCTCCTAAAAATTATTTATTAATTTAAAAATTCTATTTTGATTAATTATAAAAGAAAGCTGCAGGTATAAAGAAAGCTTTTTTAAAGATAATAATAAAGCTTATTCTTTTAAATTTTGTGTAATATTGCAATGTGACATGAATTCACAGCTCATTACATTATTCAAACAACAGGTGGCGCTGTTGTGAATGCAGATGACTGAATCCATGTGCTAAACAGCTTCAACTGACCAGTTTAGGATATTTGACCCTATGTTTCTCTCTATCACAGCAGGTTACACTGGGCAGGTGTTCGGCCGGTCAAGTCATTCTACTATTTGTAGGAACACTTGTTTTTATTTAACACTCCTTCGCCCATGTAATGGTCCTTCTGAGGTTTATAGGCGGCGATGGGCACCGTTACCTTCTGTATGGCGGTCATTACTCTTGTGTTTTGTCCCGAGGGTAGCTGGGTGAAATAACTCCTGTCGCAGCAAATCAAATCATTTATGACTTTCCAGACAAATTTACAGCCTTGCAATTGGCCCGTTTCTGCTATTACGTTTCATTGTGCCATAAAGAACAGATTCCCTGTGCCACAACGACCACAGTCCTGGGCGGCGGGGGCTTTTTAGCCAACGTATTGCATTTTTTTGCAAAGTGATTGAATGTTTACACTACACTGACAGAGAATGATAGTGTGGAAATATGAACGTTCCAGTTGAATAAACGGTGAAGTACAGCAGTGTAAGTGGGATGTTGTAAGCCAGAGAGTCTTCACTGAGAATGTCGGGATTGATGTTACGCCCTCGGTGATCCATGAACGCACACTGTGTCGTATCCTGAGCCAGCGTTGAGGGAGAGCTGTGTAATTCACTTTAAAGAGCGAGCGAGAATTTAATGCGGCCTTCGCTTCTACGTCTCGACTTTTTCTTTGCCCACATCCTCAGTGTGAGAGAGTCGGAAATTGCAGCTTTTGGAAAGAGAAGACTAAGGGAAAATCCAGACTAGTATGTCCCTGTTATGATATTTTAAAGGTTCCTAATTTTTTGGGGGAGTATCGAAGTGTCTGAATCGGTTCGATCAAGGATTCAATCTCTCTAAACCCCGCCTTTCTGAGAGCTACTCTGCTCTGATTGGTCAGATGGCCCAGTCATGATTGGTCTACTCAGCTCTGATTGGTCAGACTGCCCAGCCTGTCGTGATTGGTCTACTCTGCTCTGATTGGTCAGACTGCCCAGGCTGTCGTGATTGGTCTACTCTGCTCTGATTGGTCAGACTGCCCAGGCTGTCGTGATTGGTCTACTCTGCTCTGATTGGTCAGATGGCCCAGTTATGATTGGTCTACTCAGCTCTGATTGGTCAGATGGCCCAGTCTGTTGTGATTGGTCTACTCTGCTCTGATTGGTCAGATGGCCCAGTTATGATTGGTCTTCTCTGCTCTGATTGGTCAGACAGCCCAGGCTGTCGTGATTGGTCTACTCTGTTCTGATTGGTCAGATGGCTCAGGCTGTTGTGATTGGTCAACTCTGTTCTGATTGGTCAGACGGCCCAGGCTGTCGTGATTGGTCTACTCTGCTCTGATTGGTCAGACTGCCCAGGCTGTCGTGATTGGTCTACTCTGCTCTGATTGGTCAGACAGCCCAGGCTGTCGTGATTGGTCTACTCTGTTCTGATTGGTCAGATGGCTCAGGCTGTTGTGATTGGTCAACTCTGTTCTGATTGGTCAGACGGCCCAGGCTGTCGTGATTGGTCTACTCTGCTCTGATTGGTCAGACTGCCCAGGCTGTCGTGATTGGTCTTCTCTGCTCTGATTGGTCAGATGGCTCAGGCTGTTGTGATTGGTCAACTCTGTTCTGATTGGTCAGACAGCCCAGGCTGTCGTGATTGGTCTTCTCTGCTCTGATTGGTCGGATGGCTCAGGCTGTTGTGATTGGTCTACTCTGCTCTGATTGGTCAGATGGCCCAGTTATGATTGGTCTACTCTGCTCTGATTGGTCAGACTGCCCAGGCTGTCGTGATTGGTCTACTCTGCTCTGATTGGTCAGACTGCCCAGGCTGTCGTGATTGGTCTACTCTGCTCTGATTGGTCAGACAGCCCAGGCTGTCGTGATTGGTCTACTCTGTTCTGATTGGTCGGATGGCTCAGGCTGTTGTGATTGGTCTACTCTGCTCTGATTGGTCAGATGGCCCAGTTATGATTGGTCTTCTCTGCTCTGATTGGTCAGACTGCCCAGGCTGTCGTGATTGGTCTACTCTGCTCTGATTGGTCAGACTGCCCAGGCTGTCGTGATTGGTCTACTCTGCTCTGATTGGTCAGACAGCCCAGGCTGTCGTGATTGGTCTACTCTGTTCTGATTGGTCAGATGGCTCAGGCTGTTGTGATTGGTCAACTCTGTTCTGATTGGTCAGACGGCCCAGGCTGTCGTGATTGGTCTACTCTGCTCTGATTGGTCAGACTGCCCAGGCTGTCGTGATTGGTATTCTCTGCTCTGATTGGTCAGATGGCTCAGGCTGTTGTGATTGGTCAACTCTGTTCTGATTGGTCAGACAGCCCAGGCTGTCGTGATTGGTCTTCTCTGCTCTGAATGGTCGGATGGCTCAGGCTGTTGTGATTGGTCTACTCTGCTCTGATTGGTCAGATGGCCCAGTTATGATTGGTCTACTCTGCTCTGATTGGTCAGACAGCCCAGTCTGTTGTGATTGGTCTACTCTGCTCTGATTGGTCAGATGGCCCAGTCTGTTGTGATTGGTCTACTCTGCTCTGATTCGTCAGACTGCCCAGGCTGTCGTGATTGGTCTACTCTGCTCTGATTGGTCAGACTGCCCAGGCTGTCGTGATTGGTCTACTCTGCTCTGATTGGTCAGATGGCCCAGTTATGATTGGTCTACTCTGCTCTGATTGGTCAGATGGCCCAGTCTGTTGTGATTGGTCTACTCTGCTCTGATTGGTCAGATGGCCCAGTTATGATTGGTCTTCTCTGCTCTGATTGGTCAGACTGCCCAGGCTGTCGTGATTGGTCTACTCTGCTCTGATTGGTCAGACAGCCCAGGCTGTCGTGATTGGTCTACTCTGTTCTGATTGGTCAGATGGCTCAGGCTGTTGTGATTGGTCAACTCTGTTCTGATTGGTCAGACGGCCCAGGCTGTCGTGATTGGTCTACTCTGCTCTGATTGGTCAGACTGCCCAGGCTGTCGTGATTGGTCTACTCTGCTCTGATTGGTCAGACAGCCCAGGCTGTCGTGATTGGTCTACTCTGTTCTGATTGGTCAGATGGCTCAGGCTGTTGTGATTGGTCAACTCTGTTCTGATTGGTCAGACGGCCCAGGCTGTCGTGATTGGTCTACTCTGCTCTGATTGGTCAGACTGCCCAGGCTGTCGTGATTGGTCTTCTCTGCTCTGATTGGTCAGATGGCTCAGGCTGTTGTGATTGGTCAACTCTGTTCTGATTGGTCAGACAGCCCAGGCTGTCGTGATTGGTCTTCTCTGCTCTGATTGGTCGGATGGCTCAGGCTGTTGTGATTGGTCTACTCTGCTCTGATTGGTCAGATGGCCCAGTTATGATTGGTCTACTCTGCTCTGATTGGTCAGACTGCCCAGGCTGTCGTGATTGGTCTACTCTGCTCTGATTGGTCAGACTGCCCAGGCTGTCGTGATTGGTCTACTCTGCTCTGATTGGTCAGACAGCCCAGGCTGTCGTGATTGGTCTACTCTGTTCTGATTGGTCGGATGGCTCAGGCTGTTGTGATTGGTCTACTCTGCTCTGATTGGTCAGATGGCCCAGTTATGATTGGTCTTCTCTGCTCTGATTGGTCAGACTGCCCAGGCTGTCGTGATTGGTCTACTCTGCTCTGATTGGTCAGACTGCCCAGGCTGTCGTGATTGGTCTACTCTGCTCTGATTGGTCAGACAGCCCAGGCTGTCGTGATTGGTCTACTCTGTTCTGATTGGTCAGATGGCTCAGGCTGTTGTGATTGGTCAACTCTGTTCTGATTGGTCAGACGGCCCAGGCTGTCGTGATTGGTCTACTCTGCTCTGATTGGTCAGACTGCCCAGGCTGTCGTGATTGGTATTCTCTGCTCTGATTGGTCAGATGGCTCAGGCTGTTGTGATTGGTCAACTCTGTTCTGATTGGTCAGACAGCCCAGGCTGTCGTGATTGGTCTTCTCTGCTCTGAATGGTCGGATGGCTCAGGCTGTTGTGATTGGTCTACTCTGCTCTGATTGGTCAGATGGCCCAGTTATGATTGGTCTACTCTGCTCTGATTGGTCAGACAGCCCAGTCTGTTGTGATTGGTCTACTCTGCTCTGATTGGTCAGATGGCCCAGTCTGTTGTGATTGGTCTACTCTGCTCTGATTCGTCAGACTGCCCAGGCTGTCGTGATTGGTCTACTCTGCTCTGATTGGTCAGACTGCCCAGGCTGTCGTGATTGGTCTACTCTGCTCTGATTGGTCAGATGGCCCAGTTATGATTGGTCTACTCAGCTCTGATTGGTCAGATGGCCCAGTCTGTTGTGATTGGTCTACCCTGCTCTGATTGGTCAGATGGCCCAGTTATGATTGGTCTTCTCTGCTCTGATTGGTCAGACTGCCCAGGCTGTCGTGATTGGTCTACTCTGCTCTGATTGGTCAGACAGCCCAGGCTGTCGTGATTGGTCTACTCTGTTCTGATTGGTCAGATGGCTCAGGCTGTTGTGATTGGTCAACTCTGTTCTGATTGGTCAGACGGCCCAGGCTGTCGTGATTGGTCTACTCTGCTGTGATTGGTCAGACTGCCCAGGCTGTCGTGATTGGTCTACTCTGCTCTGATTGGTCAGACTGCCCAGGCTGTCGTGATTGGTCTTCTCTGCTCTGATTGGTCGGATGGCTCAGGCTGTTGTGATTGGTCTACTCTGCTGTGATTGGTCAGACTGCCCAGGCTGTCGTGATTGGTCTACTCTGCTCTGATTGGTCAGACTGCCCAGGCTGTCGTGATTGGTCTACTCTGCTCTGATTGGTCAGACAGCCCAGGCTGTCGTGATTGGTCTTCTCTGCTCTGATTGGTCGGATGGCTCAGGCTGTTGTGATTGGTCTACTCTGCTCTGATTGGTCAGATGGCCCAGTTATGATTGGTCTACTCTGCTCTGATTGGTCAGACAGCCCAGTCTGTTGTGATTGGTCTACTCTGCTCTGATTGGTCAGACGGCCCAGGCTGTCGTGATTGGTCTACTCTGCTCTGATTGGTCAGACGGCCCAGGCTGTCGTGATTGGTCTACTCTGCTCTGATTGGTCAGATGGCCCAGTCCTCATGCTTTGGAAGCGCAGCAAAGAGGATTTGCTTTCGCGGAAAACAGCGTCTTCTCAACATATCGACACGAACCAAACTCTTCCAGTCTCTGCTACAGCTACAGTGTTTGAGGGTCAAAGTAGTTGTTGTTCGCTGGCAGCCAATGAAGACCATAGACTGGCATTAAGCAAATTTGTTACGTTGTTACTTGGGTATGTAAGAGGAATTACTGAGGACTAGTTTCAGCAGTTCAGAATCGGTTCTTTCTTTCAGGAGACACTAACACTATTTATCTGCACTTTGATCTTTGAGGAACTTCACAGACCTTTTACATTCACAAACAGCTGTATTACACTCTGCATGAAAGGTTTAAATTTTAAATTTAATTGCATGCGTGTGTAAAACAAACATAATCTTACCTATCCTTTTGAACAGTAGTGTAATGAAGCCCAGCATGATAACAGATCCTCATAAACGTCCTGTTGTCTTGGTTAATGTTACAAATTGCTTTGGAAACTAACATTGAAAGCCTCCTGATCTCAAACTCCTCTTCCTCCGACAGCAGGAGACCATCGTGACAGGAGCTCTCAGCACAGAAGACCTGACACCCAAATCGGTAAGACCTGACCCCTTTCCATTAACCCAGCACCTAACGCCCCATCTGAGACCCTTAAATAGGTCTCCGTATCTCACAGATGCTCAGACCATGAACATAATGCATCATCTACTGCTCTTCAGTGTACTGATGTTTAGGGCATGTTTGATGAAGTTTCTACCTGAAACATTTAAACCACTTCCCAGGATTCCACAGTGGTGCAACAAGGCCACGCCCCTCAGAAGCCAGTCCGAAGAAAGCTCCACCCAGAAAGCCTGAGTGCCACGCCCCCCTTGGCCACGCCCTACTCTGCTGCCACATTGACCAAATCTACACAGAGGTCCGTATATCTTTATTTTTCTTTTTATCTAAAAGTGAACAAGAATGGCAATGCTTACAACAGCATATTATAGTTTAAAGATTATATTTTGCAAATAAATGCAATAATAATATAAAATACATAAAATATTAAATATACAAGAATGGAAATGTTTACAATAACAGATGGAAGATTACTTATATAAATAAAAATAAATCAGCAAATATGTCAATTAGAAAAAAAAATAAATAAATATAATGATAAGTGTGTTTTGGAGGAAAACTTTTCTTTCATAATGTGATTTCCCCACACTTTCAATTATAATTTTTTTTTTCTAATGTAAGATCAAAAGGATAAACAATGCAGATTTATTTTTTACAGACATTTTGGATCATATTTATATTTACCAGGGGTGCCATTCATTTTGGCCAAAACTGTGTGTGTATATATATATATATTAGGGCTGTGCAAAATTTAATTGCGATTAATCGCATCCAAAATAAAAGTCTGTGTTTACATAATATATTTGTGTGTGCTGTATATAATTATTTTCTATATATAAATACACACACATGTATGTATATATTTAAGAAAATGTGTTTTTCGTATATAAAATATATATATTTATATAATATAGATTATGTATCTATCTATATATACATATATACATATACAGAATTTAAGCACAAATAATTCTTAAATATATACATGCATGCATAGGTATTTATATATACAAAATAATTATATACAGCACACACAAATATATTATGTAAACTCAGACTTTTATTTTGGATGCGATTAATCGCAATTAATTTTTGCACAGCCCTAATATATATATATCAGTGATTTATAACCGGCGCTAAACAAGTGTGATCCTGAATTGAACATCATTAAAAGCTCATCCACACGTGTAGACAGCGCTCCTGATTATTGTGTGGTGTTCCAGGCCTCCACCCAAGCAGAAGAGAGAGATCCAGATGGCCATCAGGAAGAACCGAGAAACCAACGCAGTCCTGACACGTCTCAACAGTGAACTACAGCAACAGCTAAAGGTGTGTCAGCCAGATCCACACACACACACACACTACAGGAATAGTTCTTACACATGCTTATTCCAAGAAGCATTAATAAATAAACGCCGGCCAGTGATGCTGAAGATGTTAGCGGTCTCATATGATAGGATCTGAAGATTGAAGCTGTCTGTGCTCACACGTTAGTTTTAGGTTAGTTTTTACGGTTGGGCAGCTCATACTATTTCCCACACCCCTACCCAGACCGATCACATGTCTCTAGTCTCGTATCGATCGCACGCTGCTTTTATATATACACACACAGACGGCTTGTGTTACCTTCACGAGTTATTGAGTGACTGAAGATGGTTTAGAGTTGCAGTCCTCAATTTATTCAGAGATCCACTCAATAAACACATACACTCACACTCTCTCACACACACACACAGTCTGGCTGTCTGAAAATGCAAGCTTAGCCTCGGCCTCAAGCAGTTGTCTTCTTTAAAATAGTGCATCCTGCAGCAGCTGTGTGTGTGTGTGTTTGTAAATGCATTTTACCCACTGACTGTGAGAGCAGAAAGAAAGTGAGGGAAATGAAAAGTGAAAGACGCTAGACTCTTGTTCATAAATGCTCATGTGCAGATCAGGTTGCACTGCATTCTGGGAAACGGTTAACCTGCAGACCACTGCACGCTATGCTATGAATCTCACATTAGAATTATTTATTTGATTTGTACATTTATTCATTTAGCATACTCAAAATTAATAAATGTGAATATATATTTAAAACAACATTTTAAAGTAAATTTTAAATGTAATGCTTAATCATATCTTTTTAAAGGGGTCATGAACTGCATTGTTTTATAATTCTTTCTGGGGTGCACTTATAACGTTAGTATTATTTTTGCATCAAAAATGATCATAATTTAGAAATAAAAGGCATTTTTCCTATCCTGATTTTGACCTCTGATTTGAGCGCTCTGTTTAAGAGTCGTGTCTGTGTCAGTGTAATTTATTCATGACCACTTTAAATCATAAAATAATGTCATCCTAAGCTTGTTTTGCTATAACAATTAAATATTATTTAAGTAAAATTGACAAAATTCAATTATTTTATTTTATTTGGCTGGAGAAAATAAAGTAAAGTGTAGCTGTACATGTTAAGAATAGGATGACCGTGAATGGATGAGTACGTGTGCATTTTAAGATGTAATTGTTGCATGAATTCTTATTAAATTCTGTAAATAATAATAAAAAAAATAAAACACCAAATCAATTGTTTTTAATGCTCCAAGTGAATTTAGGCGTTAGAACTTTAAAATGTACAATATGAAAATGGATGTTCATTTTGAAATTAGCTAAAAAATTATATGTACAATGTTATTCAAATATGTTTGTGTTTTAAAGATTAAGTTTAAGTGAGCATTATATGATGGCAAAGGCAATATAAATGTAAAAAGATGAGAAATGAGCATGCACAGTGAAATATCCAGAAGTGCCTATACATTTCATGGTGGAAGTCTGGGACAATATCTGGGGTGTCAGACACACTGAATCAAAAGCAGTCAGATATTTGAGAAGATGTTCCTGATGGGTGTCGGATGACGTGAACTGAAGGCTGTTTGACAGTGTGTGTCTGTATTGTTCTTGAAGATATGTGATATTCGTGACTTTAATGACAAATGAAGACGGGTCGAAATAAACGTGTCTGTGAGTGTCAGACCAGTTGCTTTCATCCTTTCTGTCTGATGTCATCTGAAGGTCATGACCTCGGGTCACTTTGTCTAGCAGTGGCATTCCTTATTTGACAGATGTCTGTGTGCTCACCAACATTTGTCAATTGACGAACAGCTTGTTAGGCCGTGTGTCCACCAAAGCGTTTTAGCCAGTTGAAAACGCTAGACGCCTAGCTTTGGGCGCTTGAGAGCGTTCTGGCAGTGCAGCGTTTTTTCCGTTGCGACGTTTCGTTGCTATGCAACATGACATCATGACTTTTGCGTAAACATACACGCCACTTTCGAGTCAAGTGCCGCGTTCTCTCTACGCATTTTGAGCTATCCGCGTGTATCCGAAGTGTATGCGTGTATGTCTACGCCATTAACGTCCGAGTGATTCCGCGTGTCTGTACACGCCGTCAAATGTTTGCGCGAAACGAAGCAAAATGTACATCTACATCTGGGGAGCGATCTTTTTAAGACCATTAACATTAATGAGCTTGGAAACCACAATGAACTTTTTCTGCCTAAATAAAGTCATGATTACTGTATTTATAACTAGCATATCTCTAGTTACAGTTCCTGCATTGTAAAATGTAAGTTATACTTGCGAGGAGTGAACATTTAGACATAAGCCATGTTTCCATCCACTTGTCAATCGAATTATCTGAAATTCGGTTAAAAAACTCATGCGGATAAAGCTGGTGAAAGTGTGTTTCCATCCAACGGCTTTAAAGCGAATAAAAACCTGTACGTAATGACGTCACATGCTGTTTTGCGATCAAATTGGTATATCGAATTGATTTGAGACATTTTAAGGTGTTTCCATTTATTTTCGCACTGAATCGAACAACATTCAAGCAAACTTTTGCGAACAAAGTTTTGTTAGACAAAACGGATCGCGCCATCTACCAAAAATGATCAATATTTCACAAGTTGAAGGCTAATAATGCTTATGTGCCAGCTGATTGCGACATATGAATGGGATAATGAATGCGAGGCGGTTGTTGGTTGTATTCGCTATAACAACCGCCTATATATTATCCTGCTTATTAGCCTACATATAAATCAACCAAATAAATAAATAAATCAATAATTTGACACAAAATATTGACTTAAAAACGAGTTTATTGATTTAAAAACGAGTATTGCTTTTGCTAAAGAAAATAGTCTGTTCCGTCTCTGAACTGCGTCCATGGCAACGGTGTGTTATACTATAAGCGCCGCAGTCTGTTAAAGGGTTAGTTCACCCAAAAATGAAAATTAAGTCATTAATTACTCACCCCCATGCTGTACCAACCCCGTAAGACCTTTGTTTGTCTTCGGAACACAAATGAAGATATTTTTGATTAAATTTGAGAGCTGTATAACTACCACATTGGCTGCCTAAGGGACTGCCTCTTGACGGCCCAGAAAGTCAATGAAGAAAATGTTTAAATATCCCAAGTGACTACCGTGGCTCAACTATATGTTTATCGCGATGCGAAACGAGACTTCCTTAGATTTCCACGACGCATGCGCGAGAATTGCGATCTGCTTACACCAGCTTACTTACAACTTCAGATCGCAATTCTCGCGCATGCGTCGTGGAAATCTAAGGAAGTCTCGTTTCTGGCCTACAAGGAAGAAAAGAAATAGTCGAATAAACTCGTTATTTTTGTTTGTTTTTTCGCACAAAAAGTATTCTCGTCGCTTGATAAACATATAGTTGAGCCACGGTAGTCACTTGGGATATTTAAACATTTTCTTCATTGACTTTCTGGGCCGTCAAGAGGCAGTCCCTTAGGCAGCCAATGTGGTAGTTATACAGCTCTCAAATTTAATCAAAAATATCTTCATTTGTGTTCCGAAGACGAACGAAGGTCTTACGAGGTTGGTACAGCACGGGGGTGAGTAATTAATGACTTAATTTTCATTTTTGGGTGAACTAACCCTTTAACAAGAAATAACAGACCACATTCTACATTAGAATTCAACCAAGCCAAGTAAAAACAAGCAACACTAAACTAAGAAAACAGCGACGCTATAAACATCGCTATGATGATGACGATGCACGTATGCCCGACGACAGCGGAGGTGACTGTGGTTTGGGAACGACAGCGCTCCATCAGTTCTGGGAGATCGTGGTTCACGGAAACCCTTTGGTTGAAGCATCTTTTTGCTTTGTCCACTTACATCTGTCTTTGTTGACATCCGCCATGTGTGCGCAAACAGACTGGCCGGAAATGAACTCGTCTTCTGACGTGTTGCAACCATAAAAGGGCATAAAACTTAATTGCAATTCATTATTTATTCGGCAAATAACGTTTCCATCAGCTTTTACCGCATTAGCCGTATATCGATCAAGAGAAAATCCGATGAGACCGAACGTATTTCATTTGAGTCGATTTTCATGAAATTTCATCGAATTTTACTGTTTCCATAAGGCATTTTTCATTCGATTTCACTTAATTCGGATAAAAACGTGTCGATGGAAACATGGCTATAGAGAGAAAGTATCAAACGTATCTTGTGCAGAAAAGTTAGCTTTTCTTTTACACGTGTGTGAAATCCAACAATATTTAATGAAAATAAATAAATATCGGACGATATATCGGAATTTAAAACCCAAAAATATTTGTATCGGTATCGGCCTTCAAAATCCTTTATCGGTCGGGCTCTACACTCGATCATGGCGTTTAAAAAACGCGGCGCTCCCATTGAAAACATACGCAATGCGCGTGGAAAAACGCTTCGGTGGACACACGGCCTTAGCATCACTGGTACTATTGCTCATATAAGGTTAGCAACCACTCAAATTCTGTAAATTAAAGTTGTTTTTTATCCATACACGATTTGGATTTGATAAATCTATATCAGATCACTTACAGTAGTTTTGGCTGCAGGTCACAAGAGTGCTTTTTATTTATTTATTTTATCTTATATCACACACACAGGCCTGAAGGACACGTTGAAATGAAAGTGAGTTTAATTTGATCGAGTCGGCTTAGCTTATCTCAAATAATCTTTTAGTTCACCTCTCTCTCTCTCTCTCTCCGTAAGGTTGTGCACCGGGAGCGAGTCACTCTGGAATCCCAGCTGGAGTTGCTGCGACCCGTGGCGTCAACCTGACCCGACACACACTCGCTTTCTCTCGCTCTCTGTCCTTCTCGTGCGTGCGCCGGACTCTGGGTTGTGAGTTATAATTCAGGCACGCGACAGGAGACTTTAAGTGACCAAGACGCCACAAACACTGTGTCAGAACCACAGGAGAGCGCCAAGAGTACTAGCAAGTTCGTTCTGTCAGAAAACTAGATGTTTTCTTGATGGTTTTGGGTTTGTGTTTGTATGTTCCTGCCTGGGTTTATCCAGCAGAATCATGCCAACACGTCACGACTAACTGTTAGACAAGGAAAAGCTTCAGTATTCAACTTCATTCCAGGAAATTGGGAATCAATTTATGGTTTATTATGCAATGGATCTGATTTCCTAATGTTTTATCCGATTACTGCACCATTACGTTTCAGTTCAATAAACATGAATATGTTTGAACCGGATCAAGAATAAGCTTATAAGGGGGAATCTCACTTCACCCCGAGAGCAGACGGATAAAATAACTAATAATATGATAATGATTACTTAACTAATTATTATAATACATTTATATGGACTTAAGGATAAAATATAGCCTGTAAGGATCTTATTTTAATGATAATGAGTACATTTTAAGCATTAAAGTAAGCACAACAAAAAATGACCTGATCTTCTAGAATCTCGTTGACTAATCGCATCTAACATAAACATTTGTTTACTATATACTGAGTGTGTAAGTGTGTGTGTAATAATATATGTCTATGTGTGGGGGTCTGTGTATATACAGTACACACACACACACATGTAAACGCAAACTTTTATGTTAGATGTGATTAATCGCAATTAATCGATCTTACAGCACTATATATATTACATTAAAGGAATTATGAATAATTTGGGGATGGAAAACTGTTTAATTATCGTGAAAATTGTATCTAAATTATAAGCTTGATTTTCTATTCTTTCACGATTTCTGTTATTTTTCTTTTGGTTTTGGAGTTAAATATAAGCCTGGACAGATGCTGTGTGATTTCCCCATGCAGAACATTGACGATAATGTAGATGAATGTAGAATAGTCATTCATTTGTGTGCTGGGACAAAGAGTTTGCAACGATGGATGTGTCCTAAAGACTGTATGTGTTCATGCATGAAGATGAACATTTATTTTTACACGACTAGTTCTGCCGGCATGTTGTATGTGAGTAGTTTGACCATACAGGACAGGAATGTTTTAATATCTCGACGTACGTGTTGAATGCCACGTTAACCTCAGATCAATGAGGACGAGCCAGTGATTGTGCTTGTAATGTATTAAAAAAACCATTCAATCGTTTTCTTTTACATTTTTACATTTTTGTGATTTCTTAAGCATTTCTTACTAGCCTTAAAATTATTTTGGGGGGTAATAATGAAAAAAAAACTGCATCAAATAAAAACCAGTGACTGCAAAAAAAAAAAAAAAAATGTTTTTGTTCAAAAGTGTGCTAAATACTTTTCTATGCAAAAAAGAAGAAATGCTCACTTTGAAAGTTTGTTTGCCACGTTGTGTGTTTTTGATACTGAACGAATCTCTCATACACTGTGTTCTGATGCAGGAGTGGGAATGTTCTGTCTATAAGTGTGTCAATAAAGCTGTGGAATTATGTGAGAATATGACACATGTGGTGTGTTTTGATCTGTTTTAAGTTGCTCATGAGGAATATATAACAGGGTTTCTGTGGCTCTTAAAGGGATAGTTCACTTTGAAATTAATCTTTGGTATGTTTTAGCTTACCTCAAGGGCATCCAAGATGTAGGTGTCTTTGTTTCCGCAGTATTTTCAATTTTGATATTTTGTCTGTCAGTCATATAATGGAGGTCTATGGTCACCACCTCAAAGAGCATGCACCGAGAAGTCCAAATTAAACATGATTTAATGTCTCATAAATGTAAGTATTTTGCCAATTTCCCATTCATTGGCTATATAGTCACACTCGGGACCAAATGGACCCCCCATTTGGACCCAAAGGTCCTGAGTGTGACTATTTTTTACAACCACTTAGACTATTCAAATCTTGTCCCCAGGATGTTTTATTTTGGGTGTTCATATACCAAGTACCAACAAAGTCACGAAATTTCGGACCATTCTGATGAAGCTATGATTTAAAAAAAAAAAAAAAACGACCGAAGGACCCTAGAGGGGAAAACGTCATAAAAATTGCCAAAATACTTAATAAACAGGCGAAAGGAATTTTAGTCGGAATCCTATCGTTTGGAACCAATTCTATAAGGATTAATTAAGATTCTAAGATCAGAATGTCTGTTTATCCAGAAGGAACTTGCTAGATTCTTATTTGATCTCAAGATTTGATTCCAAATTCCAATTAATTTGTAAATTTGTAAACGACAGGCATTCAAATGCAGAATTCCATTGACGAAGATTCCTGATAATCAGCATCAGTCCAGATTAATAAGAGAATTCCAGATTTCTTTTAGCGGTTTAAATGTAAACTCCTGAGTAAATAGATATGTAGTGTTAAATGTTTGTATTGAGTGTGTAATGGTGTGGATGCGAGTGTGACCTCAGTGTCTGATATCGGCATCATTGTTCTGTCCATCACGCGCAGCAGATCCACTGTGGAATGAAGCCAAACAACAGGACAATAGAGACAGACATGCTTATGAAAACATATGACATAAACCACGTCCGGGCCTCGCGTCCACAGAGTCCACTACGTACTAATGTGTGAATGTCATCGCATTAGATAAGAAAACAGTGGCGTTTCTTTGAAAGAAAGCCCACACAGGCACACTTATCAGGCAAAACTATTCAGAAAAGACGCTAAAATGCTAAAACAAGAGATCTAGTGTTGAAAATGAAGACTAATTCATTAAAAGCAGTCGCTTTGCTATTCTGCTATTAAAACGCAGTGACGTGTTGAAGTGTGAATCAAGCATCTGCTTTTTAAAGGGATAGTTCACTTTGAAATTAATTTTTGATATGTTTTAGCTTACCTCAAGGGCATCCAAGATGTAGATGTCTTTGTTTCCGCAGTAGTTTCAATTTTGATATTTTTAGGTCAAACCGTTCTTGTCTGTCAGTCATATAATGGAGGTCTATGGTCACCACCTCAAAGAGCATGCACAGAGAAGTCCAAATTAAACATGATTTATTGACTCGTAAATGTAAGTACACATTGATGGCCTAAGACACGAAACGAGCGGTTTGTGTGAGAAAAAGAAAAGTATTTATATCGCATTTATATCACAGCCACAAAGCGCCCGTGGCCTCAGATCACTTGGACATGGCTGTGGTTACAAGAGGTAAAAACTATATAAATGCTGTTCGTTTTCTCACACAAACCGCTCGTTTCGTGTCTTAGGCCATCAATGTGTACTTGCGTTAAATCATGTTTAATTTGGACGTCTCTGTGCATGCTCTTTGAGGTGGTGACCATAGACCTCCATTATATGACTGACAGACGAGAACGGTTTGACCTAAAAATATCAAAATTGAAAATACTGTTGAAACAAAGACACCTACATCTTGGATGCCCTTGAGGTCAGCTAAAACATATCAAAAATTAATTTCAAAGTGAACTATCCCTTTAAGGTCATTAAGCATTAACCTTTTTTCTGAATTACTCATTCATATTTAATATGTACACCAAACCCCCAAAGCAAACAATCGCATCAATACAGACGGATTGAGGTCACGTGAGGGTTTTTTACAGATTCAAATCCAGTTCAACAGCGGCTCAGTTTCTCTCGGCCGGCTCCTCTCACAGAAATAATGGATTAAAACAGTAAAACGCTGAAAGCGTCTGAATCGAGCAGCTGGACTCACTGGCGTATATTTAGACAAACGTGCGCACATAAATAGACGTATATATAGAAACACACTCACTTGTGGCAGCTGAGCTGGTCTCACATAGACACCAGCGTTGTAGAGGTCAGAGGTCAAACGACTGAGGCTCACACTCTCTCCATGAGCCCAAAATATCCTCGTCTTCCTCTTTCACGTGGATCTCCTCAAGTTTACACCACTGACTATATGAACATGTTGGATTGATAAGTGTTATTTCATCTATTATTTAATTCTCGGCCTGTCTGTGTCACTGTGCAAGAAAACATTCAAAGCCAGTTTACGTTATGCATTATGTCATGACCTATTAATGAACAATTTTTCTTTTTACATTTATTATTCTTATAAATATATTTGTATAGTATAGTTGTATGAATTTAAGTAAATATGTATTAATTTACTAATTTTATTTTTATTTATTTATTATTATTCACAATTGTGTTTATTTTATTAATATATTTGTTAATTTTAATAATCAAATATTTATTTTGTTTTATTTTTTTAGTTACTAATCTAACAGGTTAATGTTAATTTATAAATAAATTCATACTTTATTATTATATTTTTAGTTATAAAATATTTTGTTATATTTTTTTGTCTATGATACTGTTTTTATAAATATACTTTTAAGTATATTGATCAATTGATTTATAATTGACGTTATTTTATTCTTCTTACATTTTATTAATATAAGATGTATTTATTTTCATAATACAAAATTATATTTTATTGTTGGTTATTATTCTAATTAAATCCATTACTTCATGAACTAATCATTTGTTACAACATTTATTATCTAGGTTGTTAAACATATTTATAAATGTATATAGCTACTTTATGTATGTATTTATTTATTATGTATTATTTATATATGTTATTTATAATGGTTTATTTATTGTGTTGTATTTATATTTTATTTATTAATCTAGGTTAATGTACATTTATACATATACTTTTATTCAGAAATTTTATTTTAGTTAAAATATTTTATTATGTTTTATTTTTATTTATTAATCTAGGGTAATATAAATGTATAAATATACTTATAATGTATTAATATATTTTATTTTATTTATAAAATATTTTATTTTGTTATATTTTTAATTGTTTAATCTCTAAGGTAATGTACATTATAATGTATTCAATATTATTGTATTCATATATTTTATTTTAGTAATAAAATATTTTATTATTTTTTATTTATCTTTTTTTATCTAGGGTAATGTTTTTTTTATTATAGTACATTTAAATATACAGTTCAATTATTTTATTCAGATTTATTTTTTTGATCTTAACTATTATTAATAAAAGATGTATTTATTTTCATAATAAAATTATAAATTGTATTGGTGTTTATTAATGTAGTTGCATATTTATTATATATATATATATATATATATATATATATTATCAAATTCAGTTTGGATGTAGATAAATTCAGTGTTTTAAAAACAGTCTCCGGACTGTATTTTTAGCATGTTAATTAAGTGAAATAACTTGAATATAATTTATTTTAAATAATATTGTAAGCTTGTTGGCCCCGGCACCCTGAGTGTGTGAACCGTGACCTAGACGAGTGTGTCCAGATCAGACAGAAAGCATCTCCTGCCACTAGAGGGATCTGAGTGTGTGAGGAGCTTTACTGGTGAAACCAAGTCAATCCATGACATACATCAGTCTGATTTCAGCACTTCGCCTTCATTCATGTGTGTGTGTGTGTGTGTTTGCAGCGATGGCAGTTCTGTGTGAGTCCTCTAGTGTTAGTGGCGCAGTAGGAAGGGCTTTAGGGACGTGAGCTCTTCTGTTCTCATCAGGCTTTACTGAAATCCTCACTCAGCAAATGTGAATGAGACACTCTCAGTGACGCGTCCCCACAGGAATCTCTCGCTCACACACACACACACACACACTTACCTGCATGGATTTGAAGTGTGGAAACGCATTATTACTGATGTTTCACACCAACAATGCACAGAAGAATATTTGTCCACTAAAAGGTCAGTTATTGTTTTGCGTGTTATGAAACAAGCTATTTCTAATGAGCATCACGTGAGAAGCCAGGGCAAGATATCATCATATTTCAAATGTAATGTATGATTTAATACCAGTGTTGTTCTTTTTAACTGAAACCATTAAAAATAGTTATTATGTTGACATAGTTACATTGTATTTACTTAAACACGTTCTGAGTAATATTAATTAAACACATCTACTTATTATAGAGTTATGGTTTGGTTTAAGGTTAGTTACTTATGTATAATTTACTGTTATAGTAACATGCAACTACCTCATCTTAAAGTAAAGGGTTACTTAAGAGTTAAATAAAATATAAATATTATTAAAAATTTTTTTAAATTGGTGACTAAGTTCTAAAATGACTAAAACTAAAATAAAAAAGGTAATTTTTAAATGAATAAAAACAATGGTCAGCAAAAAGACAATTATTAAAACTTGAAATTAACTTAAAATAAAAACTGGTCATGTTAATTCACAGAAGATTGCACTCTAATGTTGTTGTTTCAACCCAAATTTGGGTCAAATATGGACAAACCCAAATGTTGGGTTAAAAATGCAATTTAAAAAAGTTGGTTTTGAAGAAAAAAGTTACAATTTTAAAAATTTGAAATGACATTTTCAACCCAACATATGGGTTTGTCCATATTTGACCCAAATTTGGGTTAAAACAACCCAACATTTTTAGAATTTATATATATATATATATATATATCAGAAAATAAATTATTAAAATTGAATTAATTTATTTTTTACTTAGATTTTTTTGTTTAAAAAAATGTTCCCTTGCTCTATCCAGTCTCGTGTGTGTGTGTGTGTGTGTGGAAGCTGCTGCTCCGGATCCAGTGGACGCTTGACTCCGCTCCAGGTTTTCACTCCGACTTTCCTTAAAAGCATTCGGAGTTTAAAGCGCAGAAAAACACGCCAGCGAGTGTGAGAGAGATCAGAGCGGCGGAGGCGGATCAGTGTGTGTGTGTGTCCGGAGAGAACGAGCGGAGGATGGAGGACGAGCCGCGAGAGACCCTGGACTAACAGAGGAAGAGGAGGAGGAGGAGGAGTGGGGGGTCTTGCTTTTTACATGGAACCTGTTTGTGTTTCCCTCCAAAGGTGGATTTTATACTGAAACACTACATGACAAAATGCCCTTCGCCAAGCGGATCGTGGAGCCCCAGTGGCTGTGCAGGCGCGCGGACGCGGACGAGGAGTGTGTCCTGCTCCAGGACCTGTGCGCCCTCAGTAATGTGTCTCTGTCCCGGACCCTGCGCCAGCTGTCGGATCTGGCCAAACACGCTTGCTCGCTCTTCCACGAGCTGGAGCACGAGCTGCTCGCCACGAGCCGGCGCGTCTGCGCGCTCCGGGACAAGATGAGCCGGATCCAGGAGACCACCAGTGCGCTCGACCCCAAACAGGAGGCAGTGCGTGAGTACCACACCACAGGAGACACTTTCATTTCAATCCAACATGTGCAGAAGAGTTGATTTGTCTCTTTTAGTCCCTCACCCTGTGCGTAATGGTGATCCATCGCACTTGACCAGCTCAAATGCTTTACCGCTACATTTAATAACACACTGAAAGTGTTATGTAAGAACGCAAATATTTGTTTACTTCTGCGCGCTCTTGTCTCCTCTCGCGCATGGCTGGTGTGTTCCAGTGGTTAAAGATCTTGGCTGGTGACCCAAAACTTGTGGTTTCTTACCCAATATGACTGAAGCCTTGATCAAAACTCCCTCAGGGAACATGTTTTCGGTGAGCTCCCTGCTAGATATTCAGCATTTTATCTGGAGCATCTTGATCAATCTGGCTTGTGGAACATGATATTACTGTCCTAGGTCGGTTATAAAGCAGCAGTGGTGTTTGTGAACGCAGCTGGAGGACAGAAGGGCTGGTCTCCTCACACACATGTCAGTGCAGGGAAAGAGGATTCTTGTTAAACAGAGAACATCGTTTCCGTGTTACATAAGAACAGATTCTGTCATTCATGCCAAAGTGAAACAAGCCTGTGTGTGTGTGTTTGGTGCAGGTTGAACTTAGTTTGTGTGGTAGGCTATAATTAGTTTAGTGATTTGTAGATTTGCATGTAATGCAGTTCATATGCACCGCAAGAGTGAAAGAGAAAGTTTCTTTCTGTTTTGAGAGTTGGCCTTGCCCTTTTGGATTAAACAATAATAATATAAAAATGTGTATATATATATATATATATATACATATATATACTTTTTAATTGTATTGATATTTTTTTATTATTTTATTATTTATTTTTTATTATTATTTCTTATTTGTATTTTGTTTAATATTTATTGAATAATAATAATAATAAGAAAAATACATATTTTATAAAATATGTTAATACAACAACAGAAATAATTGTAACTGAAATAAATGTGTTGTATTAACATATTTTATAAAAGATGTATTTTTCTTCTTAATAATAATAATCATAATATTAAAATAATAATAATAATTATAATATTATTAATAATATTAATAATAATAATCAAAATATTTATAAAATATTTTAAAACAATAACATAAATCAGATATAATAATCATCATCGTTTAATGAATTATTTTTTAATAATTTCATCAGTATTTGATTGTTTAATATTTATTTTAAATATTTTATAAAATAAAAATAACAAATTTTTGTAAAATATAAAGACACATTAAACCATAAATATAAATAAAATAAAACATAATAATATAAAATATATACAGTATTACTGTTGTTAATAATGTCATTGTGGAAAAGTCCATAATGTTCTCTCTCAATACACTAACATGTATGATATTTAAAATGTTATTAAAATATTAATAAAAACAGATGTCAGCTATAGTGGACAAGGGTGAAGGTTTCATTAGTGCACTACTTCAGTTATACATAAACTAGGAACAATATTTCTACATCATTTATTAATCTAAATGAATTAGATTAATAATTTGCTATGCGTTATTAAAATCAAAGGTTGCATTTGTTAAGATTGGTTAATGCACTGTGTAACAAAATGTGTAACTGTAGACTTGAAGAGTTCAGCAGTGTGTGTGTGTGTGTTATATCAGAAGACGTTTAGTCTCTTCATTCCGTCTGAATCTCCTGATCTTCAGGGTCAGTTTGAGAGTGTGTGTGTTTATGCAATAACACTCATCCCAGCGCTCCTGTCCTGTCCTGTCCTGTCCTGTCTGTCTTTCTTTAGACACTAATAGTTTGTTTAACTCTGGGAGGTCTCATCGAACCCCTTCCCTCGTGCAGTCCCGTCTCGAGTGTGTCCGCTTTAAGTTCAGAACACATCAGCTTTAGCAATGCAGGTCCAGTAGACCAGTGTTTCCCAACCCTGTTCCTGGCGGCACACCAACACTGCGTGTTTTCTTTGTCTCCCTAATCAAACACACCCGATTCAACCCATCAGCTCATTAACCCACCTGATTATGAGCTGATGGGTTGAATCAGGTGTGTTTGATAAGGGAGACAAAGAATACACGCAGTGTTGGTGTGCCGCCAGGAACAGGGTTGGGAAACACTGCGGTAGACAATCCATGAGGACCTCAGTTCCAGTAGTCTGGGGTCAAAGGTCACCACTGCACCTCAGTTCTACCTGTGGGTCATCTCAGGTCACAGTGTCATTAATCAGATAGACTGGGATCGTTTGTTTGTGTCGGTTTGCTAAACATGACATCATAATTATGGTAATCCGTCAAACTGGAGAGTCTGAATCGTGTGTTTCGCTCGCTGATAAGATGGACAGCGTCATGCAAAAGGAAGAAAGAAATCATGATGCGTTCTGCGGTCCAAAATGTGTCCGAATAATGTGTGAGCCAACAGCTGGCACGGGGAGTGTGATGTCACAGGAACTTTTGAAGTGTGTGTTATTGTTGTGGTAATGTTTGGACCCCCTCCCCCACAACCCTGATTACCCTCCATCATCCCTTTCAGTGTGAGTCCAACAACACAGCAGCTCATATCAATGTGAATCAGTGTGTGTGTGTGTGTGTGTGTGCGGGCTTTGGAAGGTCCTTTGGTACCGTTCAAAGTCAGCATGGCCACATTAGGATCTGTTTATGTTGCTTGTGCTGCACATGGCATTCTGTGTGTGTGTGTGTGTGTGTGTGTGTTCATCTCTGTGATATCAGGCATGATGCTGACACAATTAGGTCATACACTGTAAACACTGTTTTGCACATGCTCCCTAAGCCATATCCCTGTTCAACACACACACACACACTCTCTCTCTCTCTCTCTCTCTCTCTCTCTCTCTCTCTCTCTCTCTCTCTCTCTCTCTCTCTCTCTCTCATATAAACATGCCCTCATATTTTCCTCATGTATTGTCTAAATGCTAATGCTCTTAGTGTTGTCAATGGTTAAAGATGAGATCTGTTTTTGAATATTCAGTGGGAAATAATGGATGATGAGGCTTGATGTTCAGGATTTAAAGAAGCAGGAAATGATGTCATTTTGTTGATATTTTTCTGTCATTTGAGAGGTGAAGAACATTTTGAAAACTTTGACAAACATTTACACACACTTTTATGAAGAAAACATCAGATTGGATCATCTTTGCTTCTAATGCCACAGAGCTAGAAAGACACTAGTGAGTGTGTGTGTGTGTTAACGTAATAGGAGGACGCATGACTGTGAGGCAGCGAAGTGTGTCTGGCTCTTCTAGATTAGTATTTCCGTGGTAACAAGACCAAATCTCTGAATGTGGCGGGTCAGCCATGACTGTTCCTGGCTGTTCATACGGTCCTGTCCTGGACAGAGGACCTCACTGAGAGCACCCCCTCTCCTTAAAGTATCTTTTAACTATCACTTATGTTTTAATATAAAATTATACTTTCATTATTATTACATATTATATTTGATTTTGGCGAATGTTTTTAGTAATTGCATGCACGTAGTATTATTATTATTTCTTTTATAATGTATTGTAATATAAAATGTTTATTATTATTTTTCCTGCACACGGCCATGGTAACATAAGCAGAAAATATTTATTTTATTTTTTGAATTTTTTTTTTATTTAAAAAATAAACATTTTTTTTTATCATCTTTATTTTATTTTGACATTTTTAGTAATTACATATACTAATTATTATTATTTATAATGTACTATAATATATATATATATATATATATATATATATATATATATATTTGTGAAACATATTTTTTCAGATATTTTTATTATTATTTTTATTATTATTATTTATTATTATTTTTATATTTTTATTTCTTTTATAATGTATTGTAATATAAAATGTTTATTATTATTTTTCCTGCACACAGCCATGGTAACATAAGCAGAAAATATTTATTTTCTTTTTTTTATTTATTTTTTATTTTTTTTAAATACATATATATATATCTTTATATATTTTTTTAATATATATATATATATATATATATATATTTGTGTGAAAAACATATTTTTTTCAGATATTTTTATTATTTACATCCACTGTAAAAATCTAATCAAATGTTAACAATAATGAAATACATTATTGTATAATCATTAAAAATATTATGTTGTCCATCTGCAGCATTTTGAGACATTACACAGAACAGAAGTGAAGTCAATCTTGCGGTTTAAACCTGGTCGGTCTCCTCTGACAGACTCGTCCCTCTCCTGTCTCACTTTGTCCTGTTTTTCAGGTCTTCTGGGTAATGTATTTTGATAAGGAATGTCAATAATTCCTGAAGCACACCCTCTCTTTCTCACATCCACACGCTTAAACTCCATGATTTCCAAGGAATGTCTTGTTTTCCCTCTCTTGGGTTACTCTGAATCTCAAAAAGAGATCAGAGAAGTATACACCGAGGCAGAAAGTGAGATGAACTCTTGCTTTAACAGTAGTATACAGTGTGCAGATACAGTATGTAGTCCACAAGAAGCATGCTAGTATTTCATTCCCAATATATCCTGTTTGTTGCTCCAGTAAAGATGTGTAAGAGCCTGGTCTTTGGCTGCTGTCTGGAAACACACACGTTCCAGTCCTGCCTGTCATGTTTGTGTGTTTCTTTCCAGTGAAGTTGAATAGCTGGTCGAGTTCTGAGGAAAAGAGTATCTCACACTTCCACAGAGTGTGTGTGTGTGTGTGTAGGGGACAGTGACGCACACTTTTCTTCCAGTGCAGACTGATGGTCATCACACTGAGACGCTACACCTCTCTCACTGTGTTTCTGTTGAAGAGAGATCCATACCGACCGAGAGGAACAGCCAATGTCGTGTGTGAGTGTGTGTGTATGTGTGTGTGCGCACACAGGTGGAGGATTTGAGTCTTCCTGAGTGCTTTGATATCGAGATGGACAGGGTGGGATGAAATACGAGACCAGATTATTTTTGAGATGGGTGTGAGCTGCTTCTGTCTCTATCTATCTATCTATCTATCTATCTATCTATCTATCTATCTATCTATCTATCTATCTA